GACAGGTAGCGGTACGGTACTTTTCAAGCCATAATAGTCCTCTGGTATGTACCCTGTTGTACCACGTGGATATGACAAGCCATCCGATTGGCCAAGAAATCTGGAAAGCTTTTTGCAGCTTTTCGGTCGACGCGCACCCTTACGTCGACCATTCTCATCTTACACAGGAGACGAATCCAACCTACTACGCTGCCACTCCATTCTGCGCCAACTTCGGATGAAACACTGCTGTCCGCTGACCTACCTTCTCGGACGTCCGAACTCGGCTCTCCCTCTTTGTCCGCATCCTCCGGGCCCTGTTCGCCTGCCGCAGCCCGTGCGTCCGCCTGCGGTTCGCCAGGCTTTTCCGCGCGCAGGCCTGCTGACAGGGCCTTTTCGTAGTAGGGCACAGCAAGGTGCACCAAGCCCATCTGGTGGTAGGCCCTGCCCAGGTTGAAGTCGGCTTCCTGCAAAGTCACAGGTTGGAGTTGGGTAAGGTTTCAAATTTGAGGGTCAACAGGTTAGGATTGGCAGGGTCGAAGCGTAAGAAGTTGGAAGGTCTCACAGGTTTAGAGGTTGGACTTAGAAAGAGTACAGTTGAGAAGATTCACAGGTTTGGAGTTAAAAACGGCTCCAATCTCGAAGCTTTACACTTTGAAGTTGGAAAGTGATACAAAACACAACGGTCACAATTTGAAATTCGGGGCAAGTTGCAGTCTCGATGCTCATAGGTTGGATCTTGGTAGAGTCACACTCTCGAACTTTGACAGGTTGGACTTAAGGAGGGTTGCAGCTCCGCACTAAAGTACGGTGGTTGTCAGAGGCACCAAGGCACGACCATCGAGTGCAGCCTGAAAGGGCACGGGTTGGAGCTGGGGAAAAGTAAAGGTCTGGAGACGAAGCTCTTGGCACTGTAATTCGACGGGTCATGCCTGAAAAGGGATGACGGTCCTGGAAAAGTGTGGACGGTGTGCCCTTGATATTGAAAATTGTCAGGCCACTTTCTCAAGATACCGTCTCTACTTCAAACGAAGGCTTAGCCCGACCTTGCATCACGTTCGTTGCGCAAGCGACAGCGGTTCATGATAAAGATAAGTAGAAAGGCAGGCGAGCCGATTAGGAACGTCCAGGAGACGCGAACCAGAAGCACTTCACCAGAATGGCTGCGCCCTTAACGGCCCACAACGCAGCGCAGAACGGAAATGAGAAGAAGAAAATGGAAAGCGCCCGGCGAAGCTCACCTGGCTGCCCCCGGCCAGTCTGTGGTATTTGTACAAAAAGGCAAAGCCCTGCAGCACTGCCCGGTTGCGGTGGCTCGTGCGCCGGTTCATCGCGTGGTGCAGGAAAGCCAGGCCTGTATACAAAAGGAAAGCTCACTCTGGTCGACTTCGAGAGATTTCCTTCGATGACTATTAAGCTGAGCGACAGCGGGAGTCTTTGAGAAGTGATGCGCGTGTGAGTGAAGTGGTTGGAAAACTTGAACGTCATTGGCTTTTCCCTTGTGGGCCGCAAAAGCGGAGGCTTGGGGCGTCCACTTTGGGTCGAAGCAAAAACAGTGCCCGAGACTCTTAGCAGGTCCTGGCCTTTGCGATTTGCGATCTACGAGTAAGACTGGTGGGGAACTTTTATTGTTGTCTTTCCAATACGCCAAAGTATTCCAGAAGAACATGTGTTCCATTCCAGCTTTGCATGCAAAACCACATTAACCCCAATACCTGTCTTATTCAAACCATAGAAGCAGGACTAACCATAGCTTATGAGCGGCTCATACCCGAACTAGCCCGCCTACTCACGAAGGCTACTACCAAACAACTTTTACGAGCCTGTTCTCGATCAAACGAAAGGAAGTGCATCCAGCAACCCCGAAGGTGCATGCACAGCTTGTCCAAGAGCATTCGCACCTGTGTCATGAGAAAGTTGATCACAACACGAAATCAGGATGACCAAAAACTACGCACCGTAGGAAAGGCGTATGAGCGGCCCGTCGGGGAGGTGCGCAATCCAAAACTTCATATAATGGAGACCAACAAAGGACTTCAGCGGGATTATGAGGGACGCACCGATGGAGAGGCTTATGAGCGGCTCGTCCGGGAGCTGCGCGTGCGCGCGCGCGTACTCGCGGAGCGCGCTCGCGTGCTTCTGGCTGGACGCGTACTGGTGCCCGCACAGCATCGCGACAGGGACGCTGCCCGGGTGCTTCACGCGCAGCTGGAACAGCCACTTTCGGTACGGCAGGTATCCGCCAGACCTGCGCCGCAAATCTGTCGCGTGTTAGCAGCTCAGAGTGAGCGCTGTTTGCAGATGAATTCTTATGCTTTTGCTTCTTCCAAAAGATGCGGCCGAGACGCTCGACGAGTGCTCTACGCGAGTTGGAAGAGCCACTTTCGGTACGGCAGATAACCGCGAGACCTGCTGCGAGATGAGTTGGGGTCGGGTTCTTGGGTGGTAGAAGTTGAGCGTAAGCGGAGGTTAGCATTGCGAAGCTTTGGGGCTTTGGGGCAAAGCTTTACGGTTGAGACGCTCGTTGAGTATTGTATGCAAAAAGCCAGACTTTTGGACGGGACGCAGACCCCAAACCAGCCGCAGACCCCAAACCTTTTATCAGGTTTACCACTTCGAGTAGGAGAGAAAAAAGGTTAACAGGGTTAAGAGTTCAGTTATCGAGGCTTTGGTTTAATGGTGCCCACGTGTTTCTTCGGCTTGGACGCTCATCAATTGCTGGAGGCGGAGCAAGGACAGCACAATTGATAGCCAGGAGACCCGCCAGAGTTGATATCTCTCGAATATGGACAAAACGATAGGGCTTTTGGAGATAGACACAAAAGCTGCCTTAGTATTGCGTTATGCGCCCTCTCACGAATGAGCGACAATCTCGACCGCGGCCTTCTGCGACAAATTGTTGGCTTCCAACATCCAAGTTCGAACTGGCAGAATGTCTACCCGACAAGGTCAGTGCGCGTCTGAGCCCTGAAAATGGTACTCCTAGCGCAGCAAAAGGGCGACGAGTTGAGGCCAAGACAGCCCACCTGGTCGCCTTTTCGTTGAGCTCGTTCCAGAGCGCCATGTTGTCGGGCTCTTCCTTGCATTTGTTGCGCAGAGTGTCACGCTCGCGCTCACCTGTCGGCCGCTCCGTGTACTCCACGCCTGAAAGCAGATCCAAAAACGGCACTGGTAAGTTTACTTTGGCCCAATGCCGGTTGCTTTAAGATCAGAAGCTCCGGGCACACCGTGTAGAATTTTCTTTCCCGAAACACCATGCGCTTCGCACTTGCACCCACCCTAGCCCCCAGAGTTCCTCCCACCCGGCCCTCCAGTGCTTATCCTATTGCAACCGGCTGTCAACATGAATCGAGAATCAACAGACCTTGGCAAAGGGGAGAGCTTAAAAGCGGTAGTCTCTCACATTCTACTCCAAAAGATCACTAATATATAGCCTCCCTAATTGATGCTTACAAAAGTTAGACCTGTACGGCGTTGTTGCAAGTAAGCCTGGAAAAGGAAGCCCAGAATCTAAACCTTGGATCTGCATTCAAAGCGCTTCAATCCTCACCTGCGGTCAGCTGCTTCAACACTCGCCGCTGCTCCCGCTCAACCGCTTCCTCGGAGCGCACAATCATTCTACAATCTCATTTACACGCAACCAAACCCACATAACGTCTAGACCATAAAGCTCCACAAAATGAAAACTTTCCTCCCCAAATCCTTGACCCCAAACCCGTTAACCCATACTCCAGAGTGCTTTAACCCTCACCTGCGGTCAGCTGCTTCAGCATGCGCCGCTGCTCGCCGCTCAACCACTTCCCGAGGCGCATTTTGCATCTACGACTCGACCAAATTCCAACCCACAAGACTTTCCACACAACGGTAGTTTTGGCATCTCAAAACCCTTTGACCCCATACCACCTTGACCCTTAACTCTTTGAACCCTTAACCCCTTATCTTTTGACCCTCACCTGCGGTCAGCTGCTTCAGCACGCGCCGCTGCTCCCCGCTCAGCCGCTTCCCCGGCGGCGCGTTCTTCGCGAGCAGCATCACCCGTTGCACGATCCCCGCCGCCTTCTTCAGCCGCCCCGTATCCGCCAGGCCTTTCACCACCTCGAAAAGCAGCTCGAACGACTCCCCCGATGTGAATACGTCCGGGATCAGCACCGCGGGCTCCGCCCCCGGCGGCTCGGCGAGCGCGTTCGCACCATCCGCTTCGTCCCCCCGAGACCCCGGCGTGGCCCCGATGACGTCAGCGTCGGCCGCGCCCCCCTCTCCGCTGACGTCAGCACGATCGTCCTCCCCCTCTCTGCCGACGTCAGCGTCCGCGGCCTCCTCCAACGCGTCCTCCTCTCGGCTGGCCGCGTCTCCAGTCGGGGGCACGTTCACACCGCCTCCTTCTGCCGTTCCCTGGGGGCCGTTCACACCGGGCTCTTCGCCCCCTTGCGCAGCCGCCTCGGCGGCGGCTTTCTCGGCCGCTTTCTCGCGCCGCGTTTTTTGCTTCTTTCGTGGTTGAGTCGGAGTATAACCCGCAAAAACGTCCGCAGGATTTTGCCCGTCCAAGTTTCGGGCGTCCGAGCCGCGCTTCGACGTCGGCTGCCGGGCTTCAAGCGCCCGACGCTGTCGGGCCTGCACAATAGCTTATGCAATCGGAATAACGGCTCATGCAGACGGCTTGTCCACAACAGCTTATCCAACCATAAAGTTGGACGAGAGGTAAGGTTTCTTAATGTCTGAAGGTGACGCATCGAAGAGATAATGTTGTATTGAAGAAGGTTTGACCAGAGAAAAAAGAGCCAGCGTCCGATTTCGTCAGATAACTAGATTGTTATTCCTGCCGAGATCATCGGAGAGCGGTGGACTGGAGATGACTATCCTACTTAGCAGGTCGATCGCCGAAACCCTGGAACGTCTGCAAGTTCAAGTATTCGGCATGGATCCGACGGAAGCAGATGAGGAGAAAGTACCCAAACAAGCAAGACAAGAGTCACAATCGGAGTCACAAGTGCGGACAAAGTGTGGAGAAAACGTCTCACCTGATGCTCCCCCTCGATCGTTTCTTCCACTAGCGGCAGCGCGGCGTCGAGAAACGCGTCCGTGCCGCCCTGCGCGAGCTGAAACTTCGCGCGCATCATGCGTGCGCGCGCGCTCTCCCACCAGGGCGCCGTTCCGGTTCCGGTTCCGGTTCCGCTCTGGAGTGCGAGCGGGGGCGCGTCCAGGACGCGCAGACCGTCGTCGAAGCGGCGCAGGTGGAGGAGCGCGTCCGAGAGCGCGATGCGGGCGTCCAAGTCGTCCGGCAGCTCGACGAGAACTGAGGATGGGGACACGTGTCAGGATCCTAGTGGCCGAAATGGTTACCAAGGGGACCGCGTCCGTCAGCCCAATAAGATGCGGGCGTCCAAATCGTCCGGCAGCTCGACGAGAATTGAGGATGGGGACACGTGTCAGGATCCGATTGGCGGAAACCAAGGGGACCGCGGCCGTCAGACAGAAAGAGCGCATTGGAACCGTTCAAGCACTCAAACGCAAGAATGGTGTTGACATCTTCGTCTGATTGCTTACCAAATTCAGCATGATGGACACATTGATACGATGCTATACTACCTACTGTCAACCTGTGCATCTGAGACTGGTTGATCGCATCCAGGCAGTCTTCTTCAACCAGGACTATCGCTGACATCACTTTAAAAGTCGATTCCAGGCTCCGGAAGATGGACAAAGAGGATGACGGTGGAAAATCCCCTGATCCATTCGTCAAGCATCAAGCTACGAACGTGATTGGGAAGAAGAAGCCCCGATACGAGTCCCGAAGCTCGACCTTCGACCATTCAAAGCTCCTCTTTTGCAAAACCTCTCGAGCTCCAGACATTGCTGCGCACTTACCCGTACCAAGCCACAGCGCGAGCTGGTTACTATGTGACCCTTTTAAACCCGTCACGCCAAACATGAGCAGCTTTCCGCACGTTCTTCAGGGCCGCTGTGTGGATCTCCACGAGGCATGCACACTTCCCCATCTCGCCAGGGCGCGGGCTGTCTAACGCCGCAATTTCAAAACAATAATCCGACCAAACCCCAAGAAAGCTTGATCCACCTCTCCCTCATCATGTCCACAGCGGCTCCAAAACCTCAAAAACGAGGTTAACCCCATTGCTCTTCAGTCTTTTATCCACACCCTCCTCCAGCAGGTTTGTGACCTGGTGAACAAACTCAAGAAGGATGAACCGGATTTCTCCGCCACTAACGACTCTGAAGAGAAAACCATTTTCCAACTGAGTCTAGAGCAGCTGGACGCCGTTAAAAACTGCCCCACCTTAAACTTAGGAGCGGGCTGGTTGAACGCCACACACCCATCTTATGAGTCCCAAAAACCCCGTTTCATATCCCACATAAAACTTTGGTTTTATAAACCAGACTTCGACCAGATGCAAGCCTTGACCCACCTTTTCTCAGCTTCTCCACAGCGGCCCTGTAATCCTCGACGAGCGCGTGGCACTACCCAATCTTGAACCGGAGCGCAGACTGATTAGATGCTGCAAACCCACATTTCAAACCAAAAACTAGGATTGAAGTCAAAAGCAAACTTTACCCACCTCTCCTCAGCTTTTCCACAGCGGCCCCGTAATCCTCGACGAGCGCGTGGCACTGCTCCATCTTGAACCAGAGCGCGGGCTGGTTGAACGCCGCAAACCCTTTTTGTAACCCGAAAAACACCCAAACTTCGACAGAATAAAATGTTGACCCACCTCTCCTCAGCTTCTCTACAGCGGCCCCGTAATCCTCGACGAGCGCGTGGCACTGCCCCATCTTGAACCAGAGCGCGGGCTGGTTGAACGCCGCAAACTTGGCCAGCACGCCGTAAAAGCGCAGCGCGTCGTGCGGACGTCCGACGGCCGCGTACGCGTCCCCGACGTCCATGAACAAGTCCGCGCACTCCTCGGACGCCGTGCGCCGCAGGGGCTCCGTGTGGGCCTGGGAGGGGAGGATGACGTCAGCATATTATGTCTTGAAGAGTGCGAAGACAGGTGGTTAAGTTTAGCCTTTTGATACGCGTAAATATCTGGCATCAGTAAGTCACACAGATCTGCACACTCCTCGGACGACGCGCGCCGTAGGGGCTCCGTATGCACCTACAGGGGGAGAGATGACGTCAGCAATCTAGGCAACTGAAAGAGCAAAGAAAGGTGGCTGAGTTCCAGTTCTTGATTTTGCATATGATCTGGTGTCGATGAGGTACAAGACAAACCTTTGCATCCTCGTACGCCGTGCGCCGCAAGGGCTCCGTGTGCGCCTGCGGGGGGAGAAATGACGTCAGTGCGAGGAGGAGGACGACGTCAGCAAGCCAGGGGGGGTTGCAGATTGCGAAGACCGGTTGCCAACGTCAGCTGTTAATTTGGTTTGAGTTCTATTGTCGGTTACTTCAAAGCAGGTCCGCGCACACAGAAGACGCCGCCGGGCGCAGGGGCTCCGTGTGGGCCTACAGAGGACGGAATGACGTCAGCAAGTCAGACGGTTTGAACGAGCGAGGCTGGATGAGTAACTTCAAACCTCGGCTAGCATATGTGTCTGGTGCGCGGTTTTCAAGAAAAGGTTCGTCCGCACGCCGCAGGGGCTCTGTCTGCGCCTGCAAGGAGGGGGGTGACGTCAGCGATCCAGACGGTTCGAGCTTCAAAGACAGGTGGCTGAGTTGAGCTTTCGGTTGCGCATACAGTCCTAGTGTCGGTGATCTGCGTAAAGAGTAAGTGCACTCCTCAAAAGCAGTACGCCACAGGAGGTCCGTATGACCCTACGGGAAAGGGCATGAAGTCAGCTGGGAGATGGCTCGGTAGGGATTGCGGGTGGCTCTGACGCGCAACCTTGGCGAAGCAGGAGACCAATTGGGTATGGAAGTGGAGCATGAGAACTGTTGTAAAGGCTTCCGAAACCCTATCAAGGAATTGGTTAACAGAAGCAGTGTGCGTATGGCTCAGAGGAGCGACCGCCTTCTTACATGTATGTCGGTTGTAGGTGTGACCTTGTTCCCTTCGGAGCTTGTTCATCCTCAACCCGGGATGTGTGCCGTGGCAATCCAGAGTCCACCGAAACTCATCTTTCACGAGATGCACGAGAGAGGATAGCAATGAGAGAATCTCCCCCACTCAACGTGTACGCTACCTAGATTGGATCCAAATGTCAGGATCTCTAGTTCTCTTGAAAACACGTTCTCCAGAAACACGGACGCTCGCAGAGCCATTGCGGGCGACCAAAGGGCTCACCGCCGCAGCCTCGAAGTCGCCTAGGTACGCGTGGCAGATGCCCAGCTTGACCTCCAGGTCCGGCGGCAGCGCCACGCCTAGTTTGTCCCGCGCTGACGTCATCGCCGACACGGCGGCGCCGAACGCGCCGGCCTCCATGTGCAGCTCCGCCAGGATGTTGACAGCTGTCAGGTCGACGTGGCCCGGCGGGAGCCGTTGGATGACGGACTCCAGGACAGCTGTCGCCTTCTGAGCCTGACCCAGCTTGTGGAACATCTGCAGACCCAATGGGAGGGGAGACTTTGACCTCTGATTCGGTGGGGGTGAACAGCAATGCCTGTCCTTAGCAAAGAAACGAACGGAACCGCTGAGGTCTGTAGGACTCTGTGGAGTGGCGGAGAGGGAGAGAGGGCACTCTGAAACGGCGAGGCATTCCCGAATTATCGTCCTGACGGTGTGTTGCGTCTTTTGGGCCGGCGAACCGAAGGATCAGATAAATGGCGTTCTGGTTGAAGGACAAACGGGAAAGGAAACCAATCCTGACGGCAAATCCCAATGGTTGGCCTTGTGTGTCTGTTGTTGTTTTCAGATCCTAACGCTGAGCCTCTTTCCCCGCGTGAGCATCTCGGTGACCTTGGCATTGGCGGGCTGGTCTGCGTACAGCCTGTGAAAGTCGCTGCCTTTCAGATTTGAAGGCAACAAAAGCCCAAAACTAAGAACCCCAAGACTGTAAAGCTAGTTACCCAGATTCTGAATCTCTCACCCGCGCGTCTTGGCAACCTCGGGCCGGTCAGCGTGCAACTTCTCGAGCACGCTGCCGCCCTTGCAGAAGCTACTATAGTATTTAGAGTCAGTTCAAACCTCCGAATCTTGAGTCTCTCACCCGGGCGAGCATCTTGGCGACCTCAGCGTCTGCGGGCCGGTCAGCGTGCAGCTTTTCGAACTCGCTGCCGGCCTTCCGAAAGTCGCCCATCTCAGCCATCAGCACTGCGCGGTCCCAGCGCGCGTCCACGTCATCAGGCGCCCAGCGGATGACTTTGGAGAGGCAGTAGATTGCTTGCGCCGGGTTGTTTTGCTCCCTGGATGTAGGTTCTTGACAGTTCAGGGTCTCTTCTCCTTTTCAAGACAAGGAGTTTATGTCAGCGTCTAAGTCGTGATGCGCCCAGCGGAGAGCTTTGGAGAGGCTGTACATTTGCTTGCGCCACATTGTTCTGCTCCCCGAGGGTGGGAGATCGACTCAATCAGAGCAAGAAAAAGGAATCTCCAAAGGATGGGTAATGAAAAAACATGGAAGGCTGGAAAACATACTTGAGCGAGCGCCAAGCGACACCCGTTGACGAAACCGAAGTTTGCCCGAGCTAGGTTGAACAATTCCTTTGTGAGGGAGCGGAGTTCGTTGGTTCAGTGACAAAAGGAGTCAAAGGACAAAAGAGAAAAAGTTTTGGAGAGCGTACGAAGAGGGGAGGTTGCTCGATTGTCGAAGTCGAGGCGGAGGAGATTGGCAGCTATCGGTCTTCCGTTGAATATCTCCAAGATTCAGAACCCAAACAAAAATTGAAGGACGGACTATCAAGCAAAACGACCGTCTGAAGAAAGGACTCGTGGGCGAAAGACCATCCTACTCTTCAACACCAAAAGACAGTCACCCAACAACTCAGATGCACGGCCCCAAGACCCGTCAATGCCTGAGCACTCACGTGGACCACCCGGCGAGGCGGCGCCAGAGCGAGAGGTCCTTGGGCGTGAGGTGCGCGGCAATCATGTAGAAGTTGAGCGCCTTGCGGCGGTCGCCAAGCGTTTCGTGGCACAGGCCCAGCGTGTGGTACGAGTCTGCCACGTTGGGGGCCAACCGGACGACCTCCACCAGCACCTCCACCGCCTGGGGTCAGCAGCAACAAGGTTCTAGAATCAGAATTTCAATGTTTTCATGTTTCAGAATCTACAGTATGGAGGGTGGGGCTTCGCGACATAGGCCGAGCGTGTGGCATGAGTCCGCCACGTTCGGCGCCAGGTGGACGACCTCCACCAAAACTTCAACTGCCTAGGGTGGCAAAAACATGGGTGTTAAGGATTTACTGATTCTTGAGGCTTTTGAGTCTTTTAGGGTTTTGGGGTTTAGGGCCTTTTAAGGTGGGGCTTCGTGGCACAGGCCCAGCGTGTGCTAGGAGTCCGCCACGTTGGGGGCCAAACGGACGACCTCCACCAAAAAGTTCTACTGCCTGGCAAACGATGCTTAGATGTTTCGGGTTTCGGAGTTTCTGGATTTGCAGGGGTTGAAAGTCGTGGGCCAAGGGCCTCGTAGCACTGGCCGAGAATCTGGGGCTCCGTATGAAAGTCGAGGGCTAGACTCGGGCCCCTTGAAACGCAGGGAAAACATGTTGTTTTCGACGAACGCTTTGATACGTCTCCGAAAGGCAGGGAGATCAATGTATCGTCGAACCCATAAGGTTCGGGACTTTATGAAGTGCTGACTGGCGCTGCAACATGCTGACCCTGCGTTTAAAGGGCCCGAGAGACGCACCTCCATCGTACTTCTTTTATCTGAAACCTGAGTCGGTACAAGTCGCTCAAATTTTGCAACTCGGAATTGATATTGGAGGGAGTTGCTCTGCCCTGCAAGGGTCACTGCCGGGAACTCTAGCCGACCTGCCAAAAGGTGTCGTAGCGATTCTTCATAAATCGAGACTTCAAAAGGCACTAAGAGCATGTAACATCTGGCACAGAGTACTGACATGAAAAGCAGAGCTTTAAACGCTTGAAGCGCCAAAGCATTGAGGCACAAAGTGCAAAAAACTCAGGCAAAGATGCAATAATCGAGAAGCGATTTGTGACCAGCTCAAGTCCTAGGATGAGTCGATCAACTGAAAAGGCACGTCTTGGCAAACCCACTTTTGTCCACCCAAGTAAGTGCACGCATTCTAGTGCACGGAATGCGGGGCGGGACCAGCTCCTCCACATCCCACCCAATACCAAGAATCACGTCGTCGTCGAAGTAACAGACGTCGAAAACGTGACAGGACCGGAACAGGCTTGCGAAGAAGCAGAGAAAATGACGGAATACGGACTCCGAAGCGGACTTTGAGAAAAGGAAGTCAAAGGAAAGCCAAAGCGGATTTGATTGCCTCACCTCCTGATACTGCTCCGTGGCATAAAACAGATTCGCCTGCCCCAGCTTCCGCGTCACCTCCGCCGGCAGCCCCCGCGGCCCCGGCCGCCGGCCCCGCTTGCGCTCGAGCCCCCGCCGCCCCATCCGTCGTTCCTCTTGCTTGTCAAAGTGTTTGTCAAGCTCGCCCTTGGAACCATAGATGTCGTCCACGCTCGCGCCATAGAGCGCGGTCTTTTGTTTCTTCTGGGGGGGCTCGCTCGGACCCCTGGAAAGAAGCGGGTTAAGGTTGACGCCAAAAAGGGCTTGCAAGGTTTAGCTAATGATTGTCGTCCACGCGCGCGCCATGAAACGTGGTCCTCTGTTTCTTCTGGGGGGGCTCGCTCGGACACCCTGGGAGGGATCCGGTGAAGAAGGTTGGTGATCTGTATTTTGCGCGGTCGTTGGTGGTCGCGATGTAGAAAGCGAGTCTCGCTTTTCTGGGGGAAGTGAACAGGACTAACCAGAAAAACCGCACAGAGGGACATCGTTGTATTAGATTTAGATGTTTGTCTTCCACATTTACTTCATCAAGGATCTCGCACGCACAAATTGCAACTTCTGCTTCCTCTTGCACGGTTAACTTGTCGGATGCCTGGCCAGACGGAAGGTGTGAATGACGGAAGAGGAGAACCCAATCCGGCGAGGCTTATTTCGATGCAACAAAACCAAACATGCTCTAAACAACTCACGCCCCAGGTACCAAACCACAAAACCCAAAAGCGGCACCCAAATGGTACAAACGAACCATCTCCCCACGACTCCACACACCAACGGCAGACAATCGCAACTTGAGGACACAGAAACTGCACATGAGACCCTTCCCTGCCCCCACTTCCAGCGACTCACCCCCCCACTTGCGCCCTCCGCTTCCGCTCCGCCAGCATCTCGTACTGCAGTTTCGTGTACCGCTCAAACTCGTGCCCTGGCTCGTCTCGTGCCTCCGCCAGGCTCAGGGGGTCCACCGGCAGGTCTGCGTCAAACACCAGGGGGGTGTCCTCGTCCTCTTCGTCGGACCCCCCCTCGATATCGTTTCCCCCTCTGTCACGATCTTTCGGCTCCCCTTCTAGTTCTTCGGCCGCCCCGTCTACCTCTTCCTCCGTCCCTTCTTCATCGCTCAGTTCCTCTTCTGATTCCTCCTCTTCTTCTTGAACTCCTTTGCCCCGCCCTTTTACGACACCGTCGCCCCTCTCTGATTCCTTCTCCGCCCCTTTGAGGTCTTTCTTCTCTCCCGCCTCTAGTTCTTCCTCCCACTCTTCCTCTTCCTCATCCTCCATCTCCTCTTCCCCCTCCCCACTACTATCTTCCAGTTGCTCCTGACTCTCAAGCCCCACGTTTTGCACACCCTTCTGTTGGTCGACGTTCATTCGGACAGGGCCTTCGAATGATGCCTCTTGACTGCCCCCATCAGCTTCCTCATTGCAGTCTTCTTTGACCATGTTTGATCTTTCCACCTGCTCCTTGCTTAGCTGTCGATTGGCTGAGTTTAAAGCAATCTCAATGCCCAAGTGTAATCTCAGCTTTCTCTTGGTGTTTCTCCTCCGCCAGAAGCAGAAGTTACGTCTCGGTGGAAATGGAGCAGGTTTCGCAGCAATGTGAGCTGCAGACACGAGGCGGACAGCCACTTCGTTTGCCAATTGTTTTGACTTTTAGCAGCTTGTATCACGAGGGCCTTGATCAGCGTGTTCACTCAATCTACGCAATCACACAATGGTTGGAGACCCCCACATTGCTAAAGTACTTCCGAGGAACTTGCCACCACTTCTCAGAAAAGGTTATGACAGTATGTTTTTGACCACTGCAATCCTGTCAAAAGTTTGGCGGTGTTGTCTTGAACTTACACAACACTGAGGATCGACTTTTGACCTGCCTCGCAAGCTCAGGGTATTGGGCACTACGTCTGAGAGTGCTTCGCATATACAGGCACTCAGTGTGTGATGTTTTCTGCTGTAATCAAAGCCCGGCTGGCTTTTGGATTGCTGACGAAGGTAACGACCGTCTACCACTAATCAAGGCTTCACAAACTTGAAAATGAAGGACGGCCAGTCTCTGAAACCAGGCTAGCGCCCAAGCTGGAACTCTCTCAGCATCAGCAGGAAAGGTGACGCTGCAACATGATGATGAGGTGCGCCCAATTGCTTGCAAGCTGCATTTCAAAGCTAGCAACTCACAACTTCCAATGCGCTGACATTTAATATTTAATTGTAATACCAACGCCATGACCTCTTTTGACTCGAAGAATAGGATTTAACCGTGCCGTCCGTCCCCGAGTCTTGCCGTTTGCACGCACAATCAAGCTAGCCTCTAGTGACAACTGCAGAACTGCCGGCCGAAGGCGCCGGTGCTCGAGGAGCGGCAGGGTTAAGTATCTGCCGTTGGGGAACTCCGAACTCCCCTTCAAATTCAACTCAAAATATCTTTTGAAGCTGAATTCCAGCTCTGAATTGTCTGAAAAGGTTTCAAGTTTCCTGGCAAGATATTCTGAACCCCTGGCGATTTTGCTCGTTTCTATCAGTGGTATCACCTCTTGTCGCTGCAATATGTTGTGTGAAGTTTACCATATTTAAGGGGTGCAAGTGAATAGTACTTGAGGACACGAGCGTCCAGTCATCAGGGTGGTCGAGTGCCCCAGAAGGTGTTCCGACGCTGCAGGTAGGCATTTGGAGGCCCTGATCAGCTGGCAAGCTTTTGAATCTGTGGCCTCTGTGGTGTGTTTTATCCTGCTTCCTTCATGTTAGACTTTGGTATAGCTAAAAACAAAGGATTAGGACGCAATTTACCATTGTCATTACCACCTGTCGCAAGTAGCTGCGGTATCTGTTGGTTTTTACTCTTCAGTCGCCTCTTGCTTGAAAAAGTGTACTAAAGTGGAATGAGTTGGGTGCTTATCGTCAGCTTTTGGACCATCACTGGCTGAAGGATGTACACAGACACCTCACGTCCTACATTATGGGGTTCATTGATACTGTGCTCTCACTGTCAGTCATCCAACCTGTGACACACGGATTCTTGAGTGGACCCCCATTTCATTGTTCGTAAAATTCGCTCTTGGCAATCTTTCAATAGCTACAGAGCTTCGTCAGAAAACCATATAGGTATAAAAGAGTGAAGAAGAGGTGTCCACATTTCTGAAGCCTCTGCCATTACGCAAAAGTCAGCTGGTAAGACTGCTTAGCGTTTGCTAGGCACTGCTTGCTGAGAGACGAGCATCTGTTTCAGGGGCAGTTTAACACCATTTTGTGGTGGGGCTCTGGTTCCCGGCAGAACTACACATCTCTTAACCACTCACCCCTGCTGCATCAAAGAACTGCCACCAAAGTTAACATCTGTTCTTGATTAGGGCTAATCTGGCAACTGCTTTAGTGCCCCTTTGCCAAGTGAAAGAACTTCTTTGAGTCGACTCATCTGCGTACTTCAGCATATTCCAAAGTTGGTCCTGAGCAACTTCTGAGTAGAATTCCACATTTGCAGTGTGGTAGCTGGTGATGTCGTGCAGAAACGCCCATGTGAAGGGTGGAGTTGTATGGACAGCTCAATCTAGGATTGTCAAACCCAATTGGCTCACGTATCTCCTTCTTCGCAGGTGCATCGACAATCAGTTCACATGAGGCTCTGAGAGTACATCAAGAAACCATGTGGGACTTAGGGTCCACACATGGCCCATGATTGGACACACGTTACAGAGCGGAAGGGCAAGAGGCGTTCTTAACGAGGAAGCAACAGCAGACCCCGCCCGTTTTGTTCGTAAGAAAAGCAGGGCAGACTGTCAATGCAACATAGTCGACGCTCTCTCCTGCGAGCTGGGGGACACAAGCCTAACCTTGACTTCGGTTGTGAGTCGTGAGTAAGGCAAGCTCTCAGGCTACGCATGTAGTCTAGCGGGGTCATTGCCGACGAACGTCTCTGTAAAAAGCCGACAAGTCTTGAGGGCACAGGGGGCTGGTTCCGGCTAAAGGCAGGGGCATCTCGGTCCACTTCACAAGTGGATGCTCGCCAAGTGGGGAGTACAGATGGAGGCCACAAGCGGCCTGCCAGCCGCGGCCCCAGCCAGCACTGCCGCTCCTGGCACGGTCAGTACGCTGGACATGACATTGTTCGCATGTCATTCTTGCTGCTTTTGATGAGGCCCACATAAAAGTTCCGTCCTCTTGTTGTTCAACTCATGAATGACAGTGTCGCCTGTATGGTCAGAAGCAGTTCTTTTGTGAATTTCTTTGAAACTGCCCCATTTGATAGGATACAGGGTTTAAAATAGTCATGGCTGTCCACTTACTCGTTACATCCACAGCTAAACTGTTTCTCACCAAGCACGCAACAGGGATATCTTTCGATGGGTAAATCCGTATGTTTCGAAAGTTGTGGATTTCCCTTCACGTTTCTTGCAACATGTTTTCGGTCTTCTTCCCTCCTTGGTGTATGTAACTCGGGGCAGCCGTGGAGGCTTACACCAGAATTAAGTTTGCTGGATTCCTGATCGGAATCTGTCCTCGTCGGCTGCTTTTGCAAGTGACAAAGAGGAGATTCAATACTAGGACACCACCTTTCCAAATGCTTGAGTACATTTTCCAGTTTGCAAAACACGCACTGCTTCAGCTAAACTCTGCGTTAGAGATTGTTGATCTTGAACATGAGTCGGTTGCAATGTGCAGGCTGACCTCGGGACGATCCTCGACTGCGCCGTGTGCTGGGAGGCATACGACTCGGACGGGCACTGTCCCCGGCAGCTCATCTGCGGGCACTCCCTCTGCGACGCATGCATCCGGGAGCTTCCTTGGGCGACACTTCGTGGGGTGGAGCTTCCGTTCCTAATCACCTGCCCTTGGTGCATGTGCTGGTCCCCCCGCGTGATCTGGGAAGGCGCCCTAAAGTATCCGAGCAAAAACTTCTCCCTCATGTGGCTGGTCGAGTCGTACCGGCCCCAAACCTCCCCAAACCCCCCGGTCAGGCGGCTGCGGCACGCCTCGTTCCCGAACCTCCAAGCTTTGGAGGTCCCGAGCGACTCGGACCACCAGCGGCGGCTGCTCTTGCTCCCCCGGGGGACGCGCGGCGTGGAGCGGGAGTCCGTGTTGACGCGCGTCGTGCGCGACGCGTGGTTCCTCGCGGTCGCCACGAGGAGCGCGTGCTCGTGGCTTGCGAGGAAGTTCTCGCTTCTAGTTGTGGCGGGCATCCTGTGCATCATGCTGATGCTGCAAGTCGGGCTGTTGCCGATAGGCGTATTTATTGTCATCTCCACCATGATGGCGCTCATTTTCGTCGGCTTCGCCGTAATGACCATGACTCTGCTGTTCGTCTTGCCAACGGCTATCGTGTTGGAGATAGGTGGCAACGTCTTGCGGCGACTTGTCACGTAGCTAGTTGGGGTTCATGCAACAATTGTTTGTGGGTTCCATTGGACAGGGGTAGGTGTAAGCATCAAGTGGGTATATTAGCTGGATTCTTGGGGCGTTGTGATTAAGTAGAGACGCGGTAGCCTCTTTGCTTCTCAGCGTCCTTGAAGGCGACAAGGCCGCTGTTATATTTGTTCAAGAACTCGAGCAAGGGACCCGAAACTGGAACATTGCTTCAAAGAAGCATGCACTTATCTCGCATGATTCATGCATGGCATCATTTCGGTTCCTTGCAAATGTCAATCTGGAGAATGACAATCGTTCGCTATCCTCGAACTTAATTCTTGGTCGATGAACGCCATGGTATATCAATCTCGTCCGACTCTTTTGCATGCAGTCACGGCCAGTGGCCCGGCATACAAATTTGAAAACATGACGTCCATTTGATAAATTCGATTCCATCAGTGCCATGCGCGCCAGCGCGAGTGTGTCAGTGTGACGCGAATTGCTGGAGGGCAAGTTACTAGATCTTTGTGACATTCCTCAGAAAAACACGATCATGATGCATATGTGAGTGCGTACTACATGTACGTACATGGATATGCAACTGCATTGCAACGCTAGGCAGCCCATTGATTGACGATTGCAGAGCGTGCATGGAATTACCTCTACTTGGATGTGCAGTGATATCTGAGACATGCACATAAGCACAATACTAAATCTCCTCATGGTAGCATTCTCGACCTGCTTAATTCGGAGACAGGAGCACCTTTGATTCGCTTATGCCATTACTGGTCCCACTTCTGCAGTATCTAATAAGCCGGTGTTCAATTGAACTTGAGAGTAGGGTATCCTTACAAGAGCGATCCATAAATGCAAAAAGAGCTGGCTACAAATTGGAAAACGCGACAGCCTAGATTACATGCTTGCTACGCGTAGTCCAGATACTGACATATGACTACGCATGCTACTTATATAGGTAGCAGTATTACGAAACGTCTGCATACGATTTTTACCAGCGTTTGACTAGTACTTAGTGTCATAAGCAACGCCCTTTACCAGAAACAAACCAAGGCGAATCTTACATAAACTGAATGCGATGGCCCTCGTACTCACTGGCCTGCAGCTTCTTTCCTTACCCAATTAACCGCCAACTCCTTGACCCGATGGTATGGCCGCCAAATCCACGCATCACCGTCGCCACCTCCACACCAAGTGCTTCAGAGGACCTTCCTAATCGAATGTACACATGAGTTCCTTGACAAACCCAGCAATCCCTTTGAAGTCCCAACCACTTGCCCCTAACCGTCCATTCAACTTTGAAGTGTCCAACATCCCATTTGCTCTTTTATGCTCCATTATTCACTCTTCGCAGCAGATCCCGCCACCAGATTCTTCTTGTTCCTTGGTCAACCACGCTTTACGCTTCATCTCAATAGCGCCCCACCCGCGATGCCCCATCTCCAATCATCCGCCGCAACTCCCGACGCTTTTCACAAACCGACTCCCTATGCTGCGCCCACCGCTTCCATGCCCCCTCCAAAGTCGACCCCCGCATCCACCACAAGCTGCTTCGTCAGCCTCGTCAAACTGTCCATCGCCCCCTTCGCGAGTTCCAGCGCCGCATCGCGTTCGTTCAACTGCTCCTTCAGCTGCTCCAGCTGCTTCACCTCCCCGTCTGCGGCGGCCGGCGCAGTAGCTGCGGCAGCCAGGACGCCAGCGAGGCTGACGTCGTTGCTGACGTCAGCGCGGCAGGTGCCGTCAACAATGCACTCCTCGCGGAGCTCGTGGCTCAGCTGGGTCAGGCTCTGGAGGGCGACGAGGGCGGTCTCGGCCTCCAGGCGAGCCACCTGGCGCGAAACGGGGTTGCAAATCGAGGTGAGAAACCCAAATTAAACGGGGTTACAAATTGTAGTGTACTGATGGTAAAACTTGTGCAGATTGTGGCCGAACGGGGCGCGCGACCTGAACAGTGACAGTTCCTTGTGAGTCAGATGAAAAAAAGTTCCGCAAAAGATTCCGTCAGTGATCACGCAAGGGGCGGGCTAGGTCTTCATAAATGTGCGCTCTAGGGGATTGGACCAATCACTCGTCGACCTCGGAGCCCCGACTCCATTAAGATGCAAGATCGCATCTTGAGAAACATCGGGTTTTGCTGACAAAAACACAAGCGGCGTTCGAAGAACTCCCGTTTTGTCATATGATAGCTTGTGGCTTCGTAGTCAAAGAACGAAACCCCTCAGCCTATGAAGAGGTCCCTCCACGGCCTTGACAAGCGTTCGGGTCTCAGCCACAACGCAGCCAAAGGGAAAAGTCTAACGCATGCTCCTCAGACCAAACCTTCGCAAGGTGACACCAGCAGCCAACGGCACAGGTGAGCGGAGTGACGGCGTAAAGGAGAATGCGACCCACCTCGATCTCGAGCTGTTCGATGACTTTCCCGCCAGCACCGTTTCCGTTTGTGGCGGCAACCGCGCCCCCCTTCGCAGCCAAGGCGTGCAGGGTGGTCAGACCCTTGGCCTCGTCAATCACCTGAAACGGAAATCAAGACAAACATGGTCAGGTCAGAAGACACTAAAGGTTCTAACATTTTTTCATTTTTTCATTGTTTCAAGACAACTGCCTTACTCTGCGAATGGCCAAAATCCGATGCCTTCGCCTAACCACTTCAAACGGACAACGCTGGTATTTCAAAAAAAGTCAACTCTCTAAATCCACGCAAATGGCGCCTGTCCGTGCCAGCTGTATCCTTCTCGCATCACAGCAACGGCGCAGTCGTCCTTATTGCCGCGCCAAACACTGCTACTAATACAATTGACATTTCGGTAAAAGTGCGAGACAAGAGCTTCCAGACTTTTAATCTCGTGTCCCTTAATAGAGTAAATCTTCGAAAGCCCTAGCGATTGAAACTTCCTCCACTCCTTCTTCCGTAGCGCAGCTTCGCCCCACGTTAGCATGTCGTAATGCACGGTTCGAAACACACGACACAAGCAAGTCTTACCTCTGTGCACAAGCTGCGCCTTGCGTTTCTCCCAGCAGTCCAGCAGGCCGCCCACAGCCCACTTCCTACACTTGTCCTCAACTTTACGAATCATAAACAATCCAAATTGAGGAAGAACAACAGCGGGGCCCACCTCCGTGCGCGCCTGCACGAGCTGCGCCTCGCGCTCCTCCCAGCGGGTCAGCAGGCGGCGCAGCTCCTCCTCCTTGCGCGCCAGCATGTGCCGCGCCTGCTCTAGCTCCGCATCCTTCGTCACCAGGATGTCGCGCACAACCGCCAGCTCAGCAGCCACCTCCTCGTTCTGGGACACAGCCTGCAGTTGCATCTCCTGCGCACGAAAGGAAACCCAACACTCAGCAGTCTGGATGTCAGACTGCAAATTGGATCACTTCTGCCTCCGGGATGCAGAACGCCACCGGCAGCTCGGCGGCCTCCTCTTTGTTTTGGGCACCGCTTGCAGCTGGAGCTCCTGAAAGAAGACGAAACAGAGAGACTCGAGGATCGGACTTCCGATTCGCCAATTCGCTCTCTATATGAACAATATTCTGCACCGTATGAGCCGCTGTGCAGGCCTCCAGGACAAACACTTGACGAAACACCTGAAACTAGGACACTAAGCAAATCCGCTAGGAAACCGCCCTGCCTCTGATCAGAGCCCTTTTGCATCCTCGCTCAATCCAGGCTTTACCTCCATCTTCCGCAGCTGCAAACTCTGTCCCAGCAAACCCAATTCAGACCGAATCTATCTCCAACCCCAACAGAGGAAGGCAGCAAAAGCGCGCCGACACACAGGTTGCGTGAAGGAACGCGTTGCTCAATTCCAACCTCAGCATAACTCCGGGAACATCAAACCAGCAGAGTCCTTTCAGATCAATGCATCTTCTCCAACAGTCTTGAGGCACAAAAGCGTTTTCGGGCGAGGGCCAACGCCCACGGCCCTGTGAAATACAGGCTTGTTAGGACCCAGCCTTACCTGCATCTTCTGCAGCTCCAGCTCTCGCTCCAACAGGGCCCGGTTCGTGCGGAACAGCTCGTAGTTGGTCTGCGCGAGCACTGAGCTCTCGTCCACATTCACGCCGGCGCCGCCCGCCGCGTCCACGAGCGCTTGCGAGAGTGACGTGATCTGTGACATCACCGAGCCGGCCTCCGAGAGCTTCACGCTCTGCGCGTCGAAGTCGGCGCGGATCGCAGAGAGTTGCTCGTCCTTTTGCACGAGGGTGGCCTGGAGTTTGGCGAGCTCGGACTCCTTGGAAGCTAGGCGGGCCTTCACGTGGGATACTTCGCTCAGGAGCGAGGCGACCTGATGGAAACGAAAGGGAAGTTATGAGCAACGCGTGACGAATGAGCTTCGCAGCACGTCGAGAGAAGCAATTTTGAACGTAACCAGTGGATCAATAGAATTTATCAGGCTCACAGCAGATGCGTCAATGGAAAAGCCAGAATGCGGGACGTGCGCTAGTGCAATTCGGCAAGGATTCCGGCTTCCATAAAGTGCGCAGAAAATGGCAAACAGTTTCCGGGTCCGACTTGGCCCTGCTCGACATTCAACAACCCCAGAATCTCTTTCACCTGCTCAGTCCGCCGTTTGCAGTTCCGCCTCAGCAAGAATTATCAAGCACACCATACTTCAACAGTTGCTGAATTCGACTCCCACGCCCAAGCTTGCTTGACTCACCTGCTTGTCCGCCATCTGCAGAGCCACCTCCTTATCCTGCAGCGCCATGTGCGCTGCCGCCACCTCAGACGACGCAGCCTGCAACTCCAGCTTAGAAGAAACGAGCTCCGCGCTCTTCAGCTGCAGCTGCAGCATCGTGTTGGACAGCGCAGCGTCGGCCTGGCGCACACGCTTCTTGAGCCCGTTCAGTTCAGACACCATCCCACGCACCATGCGGCGGTCGGCGGCGGCGGTCGTCCGCAGCTTCTCCATCTGCTGGCGCTGCTCGCTCAGCTGCTTCTCCTGCCTGCAAATGAAGGGTGTACTTCGGTTGAACGTTCCAATAAGTTCGGAATTACAAAATGTTGTTTAAAAATCTAGTCACCTTTTTCACAAGAAGAAAGTTAGAAAGCGTCAAGTATTCTTGGCAGCAACCCACTGGAAGTTTCCCGTCTGCTGGCACTGCTCTCTCAGCTGCCTCCTGCCTCCTGCCTCCTGCCTGGACACACGTAATGAGGAGATCAGGGAGTGGTTGACTAAATGTTAACGAGAAGAGAAGAGAATGACTTATGAAACTCTATGTAGAACGACAATCAATCCGAAAGGAGTGTGTTCAGTCCACTACGTATTCCGTTCTGCTACTTCTGCATCTGGAGACGGTGCTGAATCGGCTACTTCTCCTGCCTGCAAACAGACATTTGCATCTCGAATGCGATTGAGATTGACAGCAATAACTGGGAGACTCTCCTGCGTGCCAGAAATCACAGCATTCGAGCTGGTGTTCAAACATTTGGGAAAAGGGGCTGGAGGGTTCGCGCTAAACAGTCCCAATAATTGGGGCTGCAACTCTGCTCCTCAAGTCAACCAAGCGTTCTTCACTTTGAGCACAATTGAGGTAACTGAGTGCAGAGCCACTTGTTGGGGGGAAGTACAACACTCAACATTCACAAACAGACTTCGAAAAAGCGCGTCCTCAGGGCATCCCTAAAAGCGCAAGTAGGCCGTTCAGTTCCTTTGCCAGAAAATCCCAGTTTGATCAACTATGTTAATGAGGCACCGTAACAGAGGCCCACCTTTCTAGCTCGGCGCGATTTGCTTTGACCTTCTGGCGCTCCTTCTCCAGGTGCTGCCGCGCCTCGGTGAGCTCCGCCGTCTGCTTCTCATAGGCAAGCTTCTTCGCAGCCATCGCCTTCTCGTTGTCCGCCAGCGTTGCGCCCTGCTTCTGGACGTTGGACCGGAACTGTGCGAGTGCGCTCTGGGACAACTCCAACTCGCTCTGCAGAGAAGGGGAAGGAGTCAGTCCCTGCTCTGAGACAAATGACCCCCTTGCACCTTCTGCGGAAGAGCCTCATCTGCCTGCAACTCCTCTCTCAGGTACATTCCAGCCGAACACACCTGCCTCTCAACCCTCAAATCTGGTACAACTCCTCAACATGTCAAGGGATTTGAACATCCAAGCAAATCGAGGTTTGGAAAACTTGAACAGGGAGGCGAGTCAAGGTATGGAAAACTTAAACAGGGAGGCCAGTCAACCAAGTAACCATCATGCAGCAAAGCCTCAGCCCTATGGGGCTTGCACCTTGTCCCTTGAACAACTCCATCTACAACCGAAGCTTTCACCCTGATTCTGAAACTTATTGATCCCTCTTTCTGAGGGTTCAAAAGCTTAATCAAATTTGAACACATTTTTGATCCTGCAAAACCCTGGTAATGCAAAGCAATCAAGCGGTCCCCACCTGCACATCCTGCAGCAGCGCCTTGGCCCCCTGCAGTTCTTGCTGCATCTCTGCGCTCGCCAGGTTGGACCCCTTCACAGCGGCCTCGAGCGCATTCACCTCGTCCTGCGCTGCCAAAAAGCTCTCCACCTTCCGCTGAAGCTCTGTTTCAGTCTGATACAGCTTAGCCGTCCGCTCGTGGAGCGCTTCAGTGGCCCTGCATTGCAGAGAGGTTAAGTTGTTAACTAAGACATAGTCAAAGTAGATCCGTCCCGATCCCTGCCAGCTTCAGCTGTTGTTTAACAAACCCAGGCTTCAGGAACCAGTGTTGCATGTATAAAATTGTGCATTTTGACACCTCATCATCCCTTTAGCAGATGAGAAAGTATGAGCAGATGAGAAAGTAAAAACCTAACCAGTTTGCATTTACAAGGAATACGCAGGAATGTGCCCTTATACTCTCCTCCAGTACATCAGTCTCTAACAGATAGAGCACTGGGGCCAGAATGACAAATAGTCAAGCTTCTCGCAACATGATGCAAACTTGAACACTCTGTTGCCCCATTTGGATGCACAAAGAGTGAACCATCCATGAACCTCGACATAAAACCTAAACCCGAAAAAGCTGCCAACCAAAGCAAGAACTGTGGCACACCTGCTAAGCTCATTCTCCCGCTTTGTCAGCGCCGCCTTGACTTTGCTCAGCTGCATCCCCTCTTCCACAACCTTCTTCTTGGCCCCGCGTAGTTCCCCCTCTTTCACCTTCAGTTCCGCGGCAAAGCTGCTGACCTCATCATCTCGCTCCGCCAGCCTTGCGTGCAATGCGCTAACCTCATCCTGCTTCTGGGAGAGCGCCATCTGCGCACGCCTGACCTCAGCATCACGCGCCTTCAGTGCGGATGTTGCTTCCTCGGCCTCCTTGGTGCGTTGCTCCAGTGCAAGCTGGAAGTTGGCAATCTCCTCGGCGTGGCTATCCTCAGTATCTTTGGCAGTCTCAAACTGCCGCTCCCTGTAGTCAAAACAAGATGACTATTAGGCCTTCCATAAGATGGAAGACATCAGGCAGTAGCATGCCCCTTGAGAATTTGAAGCTGCAAATGCTGAGAGTGATTAATTTGGGCATATTGTCGGCATGATTGCAGATAGGCAATGCCAATTTCCCAGGTGACTGGAGCAGCTCTGCAATCGTCGCTGATCGCAAGCAAAGTATTGTCAGGTTGGGTTTTGCAAAAGGAATATCGGGCTGCGTTGACACATTCACTACTCAAACCATGTGATGCAGACATACACAAACTCGCACATCGTTGCCAAAGACTTGCTCTGGATTGTTGGCTTGTTTTTGCTCAAACTGTGCTCTGTACGCCCATCCACCGATCACGATCACGAAAATGCCTCCTACCAACTCTCCAGGCTGCCGTAAAGTCAACTGGCGAATGCCCTAGAAGCTTTACAGTATGAAGTCTCTACCATCAATCTTCCTTTGGAAACTACGACGGACCTGATCCTGCAACAAATACCTCCCTGCAGCTTCTGCATGCTGGATGGAAGGATCCTATATTACGGTGCAGGTATAAAAGATCGAAACCGCACAGAAGCAGCATTCACCTGCTCAGTAGCGCTTGCCGAGCTGCCTCGATCTGCTTTCGATCTGCCGCCAGAGCCTCCTCCGCCTGCCGCACCTCGTTCTCCTTCAACTTGAGTGCCTTCAACGCCGCAGCCAGGTCCAATTCCAGCTCGGTCACGGCCTCCTCCAAAGCGTTTTCTGCCGCATACCCTGGATCCTGCAACCGCTCCTCATGCCGCTGAGCCTGCCTGAAGAGGCGCTCAAGGACAGCACGTGCATAGTCCTGGGGAATCTCCTCGTTGCTGCTTCCACTTGCTGTTCCGCTCCTCCGGTCAAGGATTGCCCGGGTGCAGGGGGACGGACGTGTTGAGGTGCGGGACTTAGGAATGCTAAATCGGAAAAAGGCTGGGCACAGGGTGCCTTCCAGAAGAGGGGACTGCAAACAAGTGAGAGCAGGTTTGGCAACAGACCCTGAAAGACTTGGTAGGAGCTGCTGCAGTTTGGGACCTACTTCGTGTGCAGCCAATCCTCAGGCAGCTTTAGCCTTTAGTACCAGAAATGTTCATAGTAATGCCCAATAACGTCCAGTTTGCAAAGCAGGGGCACTGCCAGGGAATATCCTACCATCTCAGAGAAGTTTGAACATTGTCAACAACTGCAGGAAGTGACGCTGCATTGATATTGTGCGTCGTAAAACTTAAAGGTCCTGCAAGACTGAATCAAGCCATTCTTGAAATTTGTTTTGCCAAACCTCCGCATAGTTATTCATGCAGACTCTTCTACTGGGCCTTGAGGATAGACACTTTTGATGTAGCATACCTACAGAACCTGCATGCGTGTAGAGATAACAGCAAGACCCCAATTTGTTCTGCCAAGCAACTCCACCTTAAAACTCGAGATGGATCTGTGGGGAAATTGTGGCTCTTTATCCTACTCAAATTGCTACTCCCTCTAAGCAAGGCATCAAACAGTGGCTATCAGAAACAGAGGCTGTACCAGAAGGCGCAAATAAGTTCCTTACCCTAGGAGCCTGCGCACTGCATCTACCAGCTGCTCGTCCAAAAAGTTGAGGGGCAGTCGCCAGCGGGCGAGCAACTGCCACCTCCATGCTTTTGAGCAGAGTCAGTACTGTCAGGACCTTTCGAAGAAACCTTATGTTCTTTCCCCCAGCCCGGAGGACCCTGTAGCTGCTTTGCCGATCTTCCGGCTACCAACTCGTGCGAGTCTTTTCAAGGAGTAGTGCAGCCGCCTCTCTCTATGTGTCAGCGTGAGTTGAAACTCCTGATTTGGAGAGGCGACAGACGCTATAGCATGACAGACAGGTAAAGGTCTCACAGTGATCAATTCACAATCGTTTTCAAACTCCAAGGCGGTGCTCGTGTTGCTACTAGATTAGCCAGTATTAAAGAAGAGCAATAGGGGCAGAAACCAGAAACAAAGCGTGTCCTTCAGCTCTAAGCCTCAGCTCGTTGTAGATCTCTGAATGTCTAAAGAACCAACTAAACAACCATAGCTCCCTCTGACTCCCTTAGCCTTGCTTGACGTCCCAGGAAGGTCCCAAGCCGCTGAGCTCGTGCCACAGGAAGAAGGACGCCCCTCAAAAGAAGCACGCCTTGCATATGTGGGCCCCAATTTTGCCTTCTCAATCCCGTTCTTCAGGGCTTCCCAGACTCGGCCAGAGAAGTTCTCTGGCACCAGTGCCAGCGTTCGAAATGTGTGGTCCATGTTTTCGCGTCTCGAGTCTGGACAGTTGACTCCGCTACGGTAGGTACGGTACCTACCTCCAATCCAACGGTAGGCACTGAACGACTCTAGGCTTATTTGTCAAATCGAGGGCCTCCTTTGCACGTGCAAAATTCCACGTGGCTGCGGGGCATGGTTGTCAAAGTACACGTGTCTTCTTTCGAATCTAGTCAAGGATACGACACTGCACAGTCTTGAAAGTTGATCAACAGTGACTCTTAGCAAATCCGCATCCCCGACCGGGATCCCCAGGATCCGCAGCGAGGTCGACCCCGTTATCAATTCCATTCATGATTCCATTGCTGGTGCCGATCAACTTCAAGGCAATTTCAGGCGCATTCTTTCCTGAGATAGTCGGATAGGGCCTGGAACAAAAATTCCTAGCTTTATGCCGAAGACGCACTGCACCGTGCTCCATGGCTCTGACAACGCTGATGATCGGCCAAAGGGGTACACAAGTGTTATACACGAGTGTTACTATCTGGCACGTGGCAATGGACCCATCGCATTCATATGGGCCCCCCATGGCCATGCATGATCCTATGTTATAGGAAGTACCGTATATGAAGCTTGTCGGACATTGCGGCTCTTTTGTTACGCGACCGTGCACCAAAACTCTATTGAATCTACTGCTTCGATCTTGGATCAACATGAAAGTTTTCGGTTGTCAGTACATGATTATGACCCAAATTTGACCGGTCAATGGCTGGGCTGCTTCTTGTGCCCGGTTATCATGCATCACAAAGCCAGAAGAAAGTCTGAACTTGAAGGCGGCATGACTAGGTGCCTCTTCTTCGAGACGATGGTATTACTCGAGCAGCAGTGACTTGCAGTACCCCGGTGCCACAGTTTGTAAAGGCCTGAATTGCATACACACTATGGCTGGCTACGCGAGAGCATACGATTCAAGCGGTTAGGTTAGTGATCTCCAATTCTCGGGCATACCTACATCCAGCTAACCCTGATTGTATTCTTATCCTCGCAGCTCGAGCTCGGATCATGAGAATCTGATACCACAGTAGGAGGTGCTCACACAACTTGATGGACGTATGTCGCTGTATTTTCACGTGACCTCCCCAGAAGTGCACTTGTAGGGCAATCCTCAAGCAACAACTTGCCCGAAAAGCGCTTTACCTGATCGAGGGTAGTAGTTGGACGTGTGCGGAAAGGATCATGGCCTGAACGTCACCAAGCTGGGCACGAGCTCTCAATATTGTTCTCCCTCGGCAACACCTGCAAGGATTGACACGGAACAGAGTTCAGTGCTTCATGTCCGCAAGCAATAACAAAGGCATGGTCTGAAATCGACTTCGCTGAAAGCAACATAATAAGAACAGGGTCTGGTCCAGGCGGGAAAACAATCAAGGAACGGACTCTCCGTTTGAAGGTCCTGTTTGATAAATCTTGGCAGGATGGAGGCCCTCGATCCGGGAGCTAGGAGTCTGCTCACAATCTGCCTAGGCAAACTTCACCGCTAGCATGAATCCTTCTCGATCGCCTCAGGAAACTCCCCGCACAAAACCTACGGGTTCAGCAGCATTTGACCATTCCGTCGACCTTGCAGCCTGTCTCTTATTCACGAATTTCACTGCCCTTGCAAAGTACGAATCAACGGAACATCGATGCCTGTGGACTCACCCATTCCTGTGAACCGTTCGAAGTTCAAACTGCTTTGCTTCTTCTTCCGATGAACTTTCAGGTAGTAAAACGCTCCCCCGGCGGCCGCCCCCCCTATTAACAAGATTGCTACAATGATTCCAAAGATCGCTCCGCCGGATAGGCCGTCGTCTCCATGCGAAAAGGTCTGCGGCAAGGGGCCGTCGGGAGGGTTTTCTGCAACAAAGAACGGAGAGAGTTAGATCAGGAGCGAGGGGCCGAGCTGGCCCCAGCCCACGCAAAACATCTGCTGAAGACCATTGCCTGATTGCAGCTCCAATTTCACCTGGGTCGACAACGTTACGGGCTTAGGGAGGAGCCTCGGAACCAAGACCTTGTTGACCTTGCTTTGACCTTTTCCTTCAGTGAATTTCTCTTCTATTGAAACAAGAACCCCAACACTCGCCCTTTCCGTGTCTACAAACCGTCTCGGCGGCTGTCCCACAGAGGATGGGCATTCCTGAGCAGAGCAACAGGAAGAGGCTTACCGCACGACGTGATCCGAGGATCGCAAAGGCTGGGGTTGTCATTCACTCTGGAAGTGGACAGTGAAACCTTTTAGTCGGCAGGAGCATTCGAAACAGCCGTTGCCAACTTCAGCTGGTGCAATTTGAGGTCAGAAAACTTGGAAGCGAAGGTAGAGCAAGTATGATAACGTTCGTTCGTGTTTCAACACGCCTGCTTAAAAATTATGCTGGAAGCATCCAGTGGAAACCCAAATGGTTTTAAAGAGACGAGGAATCGCTTACAGAAGTGTCACCCCGCTCTTCAAAAGTAGACCAAGTGGTACAGTGCCGTCCAAGTTGTTGTAACTCATGTCACTGCAAAAGGGCCCGCTTTAAAAATGTCAGAAGTTCCAATGGATGGGTCGTGAGGTGATATCTCCGGAAGCAGAACAATGCAATGCATCTCCAAGTCTAGGTAGACAAGAAGACGTCACCCTCCTTAGGTTGCTTCTGTAATGATACAATCTGCAACAAGACGATACTCACATGATGGATAGACTTGTCAGATTTTGCAAGCCTGTTGGCATTGGCCCATAGAAGTAGTTGTGAGATACGTTCCTGCAAGTCATAGAGAGTATGTGATTAGATGAGATTGTTGGCTCTGCTGTGCATCTAAGCTCGCACTGCTGTACATCAAACCAGCAACACTTCCTCAACAACATGCGAGACGCAGAGTGAGCCAAGGGTGCAAGATTCTCTGTGCGTGTTCGGCAAAGGCAAAGAGCCACAATGTTCTCCTCAACAGGAACTGTGGAGAGCTTACAAGATCTTGAGGTTGGTTACATTGAGCAACGCCGGGGAGATCGTGCCAGTCAGATTCAGGTTGCTGAGGTTTCTGCAGAGACAGTAGCGAAATGCGCGCAGTTAGGGACTTTGTCAACGGTCCAATCGAAAGGGTTGGCAGATGTCAGGTAACCCTATTGGAGTTGATGATGCCAAACAGGCAAGTAACCACACTTCCTCAGAAGAGGATGCCCTACAGGATTCTCTTGTCAGCAGCCCCTGACATCAGATTCATGCTCCATCTTCAAAGTCAAGCAGTGCTGCAATGAAAAACTTCGATGAAGAGTGATTTTGACGAACTTTGGTGCACCTGAGTGCACCTAGTTTGTGGTGACAGCAAGGTGTTCAGTTGGACAGTAGGTCAAGGGATGTCTGAAATGTTCGTAATCAACTCACAGTCCCAACCAACCAGTATGAGAGCACCTCATCGTAAAGCGGGGCCGCATTGGGTCCTTCTCTAGTGAAATTAGGTTCTGGGCCTCGTAAGCCCTTTTCAGAGATTGTCCAAGGCAATCCGTGCCGAGGGGCCTCACTGCGGACGAAGCTATTTCCCCACAGCGACCTTTGCATTTTCGTGTCAAGGACTTACATTTCTGAAACAGCGTCCGTAGCACCAAAAGCCCCCGCCTCGATGCCCCCACAAGCGACCCCCTGGTAAAGGCATGGGTTTTCGCCCGCCCAGCTCGCAAGGTGGTTGTATGGGTCAACAATGAAGCTCCTGAACTGAGCAAGAGCACTTACTGCACCGGGTAGAGAGTTGCAATCAATCAGTCTCAATTTGGGCTCGCTAGCTGTCCCCTTCCCTTGGAAAACAACTTTCCTTTTGGTCAGTGATTTTGATGACAGTCCCTTGCTACCACCAGGGGGTTAAGCATCTACTCTCTTGAGGCTTGGTGTATGCCATACTTGATTGTGTGCAACGTATAAGAATCTGACAAAGCTTAGGTGCAGCCTCAAGTCTGAGACTGAGAATCCTTGTGACAAGTAAAACTCAAAGCCAGTTCGTCAGTTTCGTCAATTGACCATCTAGTGTTCCCATTGAGCGACTCGAAACCCTCTTTGTAGAGATCTGCTTTCCTGCAAGCTCCCCAGTCTTTTGTCAAGGGGCTATATTTGTCCAGCCGGCAGGAGCAGGTGCGCCCTAGTGCTTGGATTCTTACTTCGTGGCACACAAAAGTATTGCTTTTTGAGTCACCTCAGGGGACGAAGGAAAACAACGACTGACAAGAGAATCTGCATAGTCTATTCAAGTGTCAGTAGCCATAGGTCTGGGTGATTTGTAAAGTCTTGTCTCATGGTAGGAATGATGTGCAAAATATGCTCCAATGAATCATGTACAGGCAACAGAATGCAGACCAAGCATACATATGCAAACACATGGAAAGGCACGATTTGGGATGACTAGTGTCACCTTCAGCTTGTGTGACTTGAGCTGTGGCCACAGGCAACCCAACAACCGCCAGGACCAATGCCCAAAGCCACTTGCTCCTCAGATCAACATGCTTGAAGCCATCCATTCCTCAGCTGGGGGCCACCTCAGAAGCAAGACTTTGTACCCAGGCAATGCCGGAGGTGGGGTGCCTGCTAGTGTGTCTAGAGGGCAACCCCGAGCCCAATTGAGCTGCAATGAGCTCCAAGATACTGGATCTTGAGAGGTCAACTCGCTGCAAGCAATTCCGCCCTGTTTTCGCCAGGCCTGCACGCCAATTGCAACTTGCAGGCCGCTCGGACAAATGGTTGTTAGAAAGCCCAAAGAAATGAGCACAGTTGCTCTGCTTAGATCCTGGTTTCCATAGAGGATGCACTTTTCCCCGCACCTTTTCCCCTTTCAGATGTGAAGGCTGCCGCCACGATGTCTTGTCATTGATAATTTGATTGGCACCAGAGCGCAAGCTATTTTGACTCCTGAGCTCCGCTGACCGCCTCTGACTCTGTGTCAGAACGTTCTGCTGAGCTCCGAGTCCCGGGAAAACCGGAGCTGGCTTCGAAACTCGCTTCCGTCAGCAACACACCGCGGCGACCATGCTAGTCCCTCCAAGGATTGCAGTGTCGCTCCACGCATTGTTAGGGTTCAGGCGTCTATGCAGCGCTCTTTTGACCTGCCTAGCTTTCAAAAGCTCGACAATCAAGCTGAACAGTTGCGAGGCTTGCGCTGATCGAGGGCATTGGATGAAATCCAGAACTCCATCCCTGTAGATTGAAGTTGAACATCAGTCAAGTGCAATGACAAAAGGTTGCAGGCTGAGTGCTCAGGAGGAAGTTAGGGAGTACGCGGGGCCGGACGTGGCAAGTACTTACTGTAATACTTACAGCTCCACACGTTTGAATTCAAGGAAAACTTTCGCAGATGTTGCTGCTCCCCAGTTCAACTCTGATGAGAGCTCCTGCCTTGCTACTGCACCAATTGTCACATCGATTGCTGATTACTTGCTCAAGCTACATTACTTCCGCGCTCGAGCAGTTGTGGCCTCCTAACCTGCAATCCCACGAGTGTCACCTCCTGGCAACATCCTGCTCCACAAGCCTGCTGCAATGCTAAACTCTGACCACAGTTCTTCTTAAGATACAAGTAAGCAGCCAGGATAGACATAGAGGAGCTCCAATGGCTGAAACACCACTCCTACTCCCCCAAATGACAGCAGTCACAGAGAGCGGAATCCATGCCGGAGGCACATTTCCCTCTGCTTTTATGAGGAATTGTGGGCAGGTGAGCACAAAACGCAAAAGGAAGTTGCAGCTTCTAGAAATTGGGACGAAGACCGGGGTCACCTCTTTTTAAGCCCAGGTTATTTGAAATTAACCTGCCTGTGATGGGTCTATTGTAAACATGGGTCACTGCGAAGCAGGTAATTCTTTGGCTTCGAATCTTCGGTATTAGCTCCGTTCTTGCTGTAACTTGAGCTTAATGTAACGAAACCCAAGGGAAGTTCAGGTCAGGAGGGAGCTGTTGTAAATGTTGAGGTGTTCTCTTCAAGTACCTCTGGGGTCTGAGAACACAGTCAGCTTGCAATTGGAGACAGCCACCTGCCGTCCATATTAAGCAGGGAATACAGATGCTCCTTCGGTGAAAAGGAGCACAAATTTTGCACTTAGGATACATAGCTCTCAAGCTATGCTCCCAAAAGTGGGTGCTGGGAACTTACCACCAGTTTCTATCCTTGCAGGAAAACGTTTTGCTGCGCACAGGTGGGTTTGAAATATTCATATCCATCCTAGAAGTGTCGTTCATCTTTGCTATTGGACTTTGTCACCACTGACACTCAATGAAGGGTGGATAACCTGTGGTACATAGTATTAGGAGACTGAGGGACTCTCTCCCAAACACTTGCTGTATGAGCATCACAATGGTAGAAAGCCCTCAGAAACGCAGTTTCTCACCATCTCGAGACAAGAACGAAGCCAATCTTGCATGTGAAGGTAATTGATCTGTTTTGAAACTTGGAGTTCGCCTCAGTATCTAGGCTGGTTACTAGAAGGAAAGAAAGGCTAAAGAGTCTCTATGAAGTGCTCTTCTAAAGGGGCAGATTTTCTCTGTTCAAAGGGGAGTGACTTTGTTCCTATATAAGAGAGAGTGCTATGCATCAGGAATCAACAGCCCTATAGGCAAAGCCAGAAAGGCAACGTTTTGGAACACAGATACGTTTGTGAAACGGAAGATGGGAAAACCACTGATGAAACTGAAAAGAGATCTGGATCTCCCATCTTAAAACTAATTTAGCTCGCTTCAATCCTTTACGCTGATAGGCTATGCACTCCAGAAAAGCTTGAGCAGAGGAGTCTGTTTTGTTTGACAGGCGAGCCAGTCGTGTCCACTGACAAGAAGCGGCGTGTGAGGGAACGGCTGAAAGAAGCCGAGAAGCGGCTGCAGAAGAACCAGCCAGTTGCACTGAGGTGGAGAGAAGCAGGCAAGGCACTGATGGTGAGCGCTTGATACCTCTGATTTACCTGAATCCGGTACTCCTACCAAACCAGTGTTTTCCTATGTCCCATGATTTGTGCACGCCATATCTTATTTGAAGAAGACAAGCATCGGGTGATTAGTCAAACGTCAAGTTCGTTCATTTCTTTTGTGAGTTGACATGGAAGGCTGTAGAGTCGCACATAGGGAAAGCGTGGGACTGCGTTTCCTTAGTGGCCGGATCAATACAAAGATTCAGCTGCAAAGTCAGTTGCCTCGTGTCGTGGAAACTCAGCAGGGTAAGCTTTTTAGGTCGTACTTTCAATACGAGTACAAGGTGAGTTGAATCTGAGTAAGTCTTTCCTTACAACGGCCACAGCCCTCCTCCTCCGCCTTACGTTCTCAGAATTTTAATCGCTCCACTAAGGTATTCTTTTGAACGTCCTTCGTTCTTGGCTTGCTCATCAGATTCCATAAGATTCAACCAGGACGCCTCATGCCGTTTGACTCCGTCCCTGAAAGACCAAAGCTCCTGTTATTCAGAGTATCGTGAGCCACAGTGCCTCGGTTTTCTTGGGCTCCTGTCCCATAGGGACAGGAAAGCTCCAAAGTGTTTCATTGATGAAGAGGCAACCATTTCGGAAGGGAATTTTGTTTCCTTCTGAACCGCTGTACTTCACGCCGCTGTTTCCGGGAGGTCATTCTTGAGAACCTAACCGTCCTGCGAAACAAATTAACAGCCGTGCTATCAAGTGAGGCTCTTTCTGAACCGCTGAAGCTTGCGCCATTGCTCCCTGCAGGTCATTCTCGAGGTCCTAACCGTCTCGCGATATAGGTATACGGACGTTCTTTCAAGTGAGGCTCTCTCTGAAACGGTGAATCTCGCACCATTGCTTCCACAGGTTAGTCTCGAGAATCTCAATAACCGGCCTGCAAAATAAATCGATAGACGCTTCTCCAGATTAGCCTCCCTCTGATCCACTGGGCCTCGCGCCGTTGTTCCCTGCAGGTCATTCTCGAGGACCTAACCGTTCTACAGTACAAGTTTACGGACGCCCGTGGCCCGCCGGACGTCCAAAGCATCAAGATCGATCACTCCGTGGCGGACCAATCCCAAGAGCGGCTTCTATCAGGTAATTGAACGGCCTTCATCGCCGCCGAGTAGACTTATAAGTGGTGCGGCCACCCCGTCACTGCTTGGTCGATCTCGTGGCCAACGAAGACCTTGAAATCATTTTTGTCAGAGGCGTGCAAGCTCGCTGTAATTGGTAGATCGATGGACTAAGCGGGTCGGTGTGTATCTGCTGGGTTCGCTCCTTCGAAGTTCCGTTCAGAGCGGCAGCGAAACTTAACAAACACCTTGTGCATCAAGGGCCCTCCCGCTACTCTCCGCTCGCTGTGACAGGTCTTCAGGTGCGTTGACAGATGCGACGTCTCTAATCTTCGCTTTGCAGCTACTCCCAAGTGCTGCTTCTCATGTCCGTACTCAGATCGGCGAAACTCTTGCGAACATTTTCGAACCTGTCCGTACTCTTACGAGATTCGTCCGCCCCTTTCCGTGATACTCGCCTTTTGCAAAGGCGGATATTTGAGTCCGTCATTTCCTCCTTGTCCATTTGCTGGCAACCCGACCGTCCCGTTTCCGTTCCCAATACGCACCGACATCGACGTCACCTGCCAGCTCATGGTGGCCAGCACCCGCACCGGACGCCTCCTCCTCTTCAACGAGCGCAAGCACAAGTGTCGTCCGTTTGTCCGCTCTTACCCTAGCGTTCCGTTTCCGTTCTCAATCCGCACCGGACACTATCTTCATGGGCCAGCTCATCGTGGCCAGCACTCGCAACCGTCGCCTCCTCCTCTTTGACGCGCGCAAGCACAAATGTCGTCCGTCTCTCCGCATTGACAACACCGTTCCGTTTCCGTTCCCAATCCGGCAGCGGACATTGACGTCACGTGCCAGCTGATGATGACCAGCACCCGCAACTGTCGACACCTCCTCTTCGACGCGCGCAAGCACACACGTCTTCGTTTGCCCGCTTTACTTGACGTTCCTTATGTCGTCCATTTGTCCGCTGTTGCCCGACCGTTCCGTTTCCGTTCCAATGTGCAGCGGACACTGACGTCACGTGCCAGCTCATGGTGGCCGGCACACACAACGGGCACGTCCTTCTCTTCAACGCGCGCCAGCTCGAGACCAACTCTTAAGTGCATCATCATCGGGCTTTCAGCTTTCCAAAAATTCGTTCCGTTTCCGTTCCCCATCCGCAGCGGACATTGGGGTCACGTGCCAGCTCATGGTGGCCAGCACCCGCAATGGTCGCCTCCTCCTCTTCGACGCGCGCAAGCACGAGCGGGGTGCTGCGGGCGACCACCTGGGCGCGTCCGGCACGCGCCTGCTGGAGGCCCTGGTAAGAACACGTGGCGGCTTGAGACTTGCTGAGAATGGCGTACGGCTATCTTGATTTCATCCAAAGACAGACACGGTTTTGCTGGAAAGCTACGGCCTGTTTTTGTCATTATCCTGATTTGCGGGCCTAAGTTCTCGCGGTGGCCCTTTTGGTGCGTTGGCTGCCCTCTTGGAGCTCCTTCCTAACATTCATCCGCTGAATTAGTAAAGAGGGTCGAACTCGATGAAAGGTCGATCACATAATCTCGAACTGCGGCAACCTCAGCACGAGATGAATTGTCTGGCCAACCAGGATTTTTCTGACGTTGACTGGGCGGATATCAGGGGTCATGAGGAAAACAGTTTTACTTCGAATAAGGGAGCCTTCAGGTCTGCCTTGCCTTCTTGTAGCCCCTTTTCATTCCAGTGACAGACGAGACAATCTGTTTGAAATGACACTTAGGTCCCAGTACTTGATATTCAGCTCGAACTGATCGTCTCGGTCCTTGCGCTCGTATTTCTTCTTGCACAATTTAAGCAAAACCCGGGCGTTCTGACTGACGAAGAAAGTGCCCGCAGCTTTCCGCATTTCGATCGATAGTTGAAGAATAAGAAGACTCTAACTGGGACGGGTGGCGTTATTCGAAGGGTAAGGGTGGGTGCGGATGCGAGTACAGGTGCAGGGCGCGATAACCTCTGGTTTAGCTTATTCGTTAGCCCCAATGCGTATTGTTCACTGAGCCCATTGTTAACCAAACCGCGAACTATTTGTTTCGCAGACGGCCAGCTCGGTGGCCCTGCCCGGCCCCGCCTCGCGCGTGCGCATTAATTGCAGCAGTGACCTCGTGCTCGCGCAGTGCGGCAGCCACGTCGTCATCATCCACGTCACGAGCGGCCCCCAGGGGTGAGTAAAACGGAGCAACTTTATTCGTTTTCGTTTGGATACGGTTGACAGTTCCAAAACAGTTTGTCAAAGGAGGTCCCAGTGTTTTGGCGCAAGAAAACAATTGGGCGCCTATGGTGGCTAGTCTAGATAAGGTTCAATGGTCGTCCGAAGCGCCTGGTATGTAGCGAGTCCGTGCTTATTGCAAGCACTATAGCCCGGTTTCGAAAGGTTGGACATTATTGTCCGGAGCATATTTGTGCAGGAGACTTGAGTGAGCCGGTTCCAGACTCGGCGCACATTGAAACAACTGGGCGATCTGTCTTAGCCTGATCTTCTTTCGTATGAAGGGAAGGTACAAAGTTTCTGTCATCTGGTAAGCTTATTTCTTTCGGTCCGGGACAAGAACAATTGAACAAAAGTTCTTTGTCGCTTTCCGCAGCCGCAAGAGCGGCCCCGCCGTCCGCCAGATGTTCCTCTCCCCGGAGGAGGCCGACAAGGCGCGCGCGCCCACCGTCACGGATGACGTCATCTCGTGCCGCTTCAGCCGCCACCTGCCGAACCGCGTCCTCGTCGTGCAGCGCGCGCGCGCGCAGGGGACCTCGCTGGAGTTCCTGGCGCGCGCGTTCGAGTACCGAGAAGCCGAGGTGGGCCGCTGACGTCCTAGCATCCGTCATTCTTACGTCACCCTAGATCTCGCTGGCTGCTCGGTATCTGCCGGACTTTTGTTGGTGATTGACCGGAAAGGCATGTACCGAGCGGAACGCCCTCGACGCGGCTATCGGCTGCTGACGTCACCATGTCAGGCATCCTGACACGACTCTTAAGTCTCAGGATCTCTGAGCGGTCCTGACTTTCGTATCCACACGTCGAGGCAGTCAGTAAGCATTCGAGATGCACAGCACTCCAGAGCTGCCCGGATCCCGCTGCTAGTAAAAAGTTTTAGGCATTAATTCGAACGGCCGTCCGGTTCTTTTGTAGAAGCCCAGTCGTCTTTCATTCTGAACTGCAATCAAGAGCATGCTTGTCAAGCCCGCAATCTCCAACTTTGTCTGTTTCAAACTTCGACTACTTGACGTTAAGAGCGACCAATCAGAAGCATCAAGTCGCCGGGCGCCTCAAAAGGTCTCACGTTCCTGCTAATGGAGACTAGGACTTTCTTTGAAGTCGTGTCTTTCGGTGATTGTCATCCACCTAAGCCTTGATATCATAGCGTGAAGATCTTTCTGTGTCTTGCAGCGACAACTGGACTTGGTGACGTCATCCACCGTCGTCGGCCTCGAGAGCAACGTCACCGCCGTTGCTTGGAGCCCAAGGGAAGATCAGGTATGGACTCAACTTTGTGAAGTTCCCTAGGTTTCTCGGGATTTCAAAATCATAGAGCAATACGACTTTTCAGATTCAATGTTGCAAGAGAGATGCCTTTTGAAGCTTGAGGTCCACAGGCTTGCTCTGCAAGGCGAGATAACCAGATCTTTGTTCCTCTGTCTTTCAAGTAAACGTCTCTGCCTCCGGATCTGCCATAAGTGCGAACATAACCGGGCTGCCGAATGCAGTACGAAATAGAGGCCATTTTCTATCACACGTCTGTGCTGACGTTCCAAACAGCACGGGCAGACAAATCAGATGCGTCCACCATTGCACTCAAATGCGGAGGAATCGCGTTGCGCTTGCCAGAGGAAGAAAGTGAATGAGATCCGGAGATGCGACTTGAAAAGTAAGTATCCACCTGCGATAAGTGCTGACGTCAGCATCAATTGCCGACGCAGGTTGTTTTGGGCACGCGCGACGGGGGCATCTTTTTGCACGACCTCGGACGGGGCACGCTGCGGACGGTGCCGGGCTGCGGACGAGGAGAGGTGAGCGTCCGCCTTCGGATTCGGTAACTCGTCTTTACCAGCCAGATTCGGAGTCAAATGAAGTACTCCATTGCATCTGTGTTAAACTCGAGTTCGGCTCCTGTTTCTCGTTGGGGCTCCTTTGACTGCAAAGGAAGAAACTCTTATCTGGGGTTTCCGGAAACATGAAACGCTTCATGCGACACCGTGGAAAACAAAGCACACGTCTGAAATAGAATTCAGCTGAAGCAGAACTGTACGCTCTTGCTTCTCAGACGGCACTTGCGAGGCTGCCTAGCAAAGCTCAGCTTCTGCAAAAGTTAAATTGAGACTGTAACTTTCCAGTGTACAAGAATTTTCTCGAGCACTCCGTATCGGTATTGACACCTCATGATCTCGTTCAAGAAGTCTCGTCGAAGGTATTTATGTGCCGATCTCGTCTTGCGTACCCAACGTCTCAGGCACTCTGCTTTGTCTCCAGGTCGACTTGCTAACGTGGCATCCGGACGGCGCCCTGATCGCGGCCGCTTTCGGCAACGGCGAGGTTCTGTTCTTGGACGGTGCGCTACAGCGGACGGAATTGGAGTCCGATCTGAAGCCGGCGCTCGAGAGCCTACACCTGTCCAAAGTGCACGGGTGAGTGTACCGGGCACTTCTTTTGAGTAAGCCGTGAGAGGTTTCCCGGACGCCCGACGAGCTGGTGTTTTGTTTCCAGCCCGTTAAGGGCAAAACGAGACTACTTGCAGGAGTTCAGCTGTAGATGTCTGACGGACTTGAGTGCCTACACCTGTTCAAGCTGCAAGGGTGAGTGTACCGGCCTAGTGATGGGTGATTGTATCAGATTCTACAGACGTCCGGTCAATAGATAGATCTCTTTTCTAGCTTTCCGAGTTCCGAAAGTGACTGATTGCGCACATTCTAGTTCGAATCGAAGAGTAGGACGGATTTGTAAGGCTGCACCTGTCCAAGTTCCTTGAAGCACAAGAGTGAGAGGAAGAGTGGCTATGCCAACCTTGAGACAGTCTACAGACACCCCGTCAACAGATAGGTTCGGAACGAGCGACAAAGGGCGAGACTTTTGCAGCACTTTTCAAGAATCTTATAGTGGGCGTACGGCATGCATGTACAACCTCGGTTGCATGGTGCCAAGACCCTTTGCGGCGCAACATCATTGCCGTTGAAAAGACCATAACGCCGTCGGAGATATTGGCTGACGTCAGGCAAACTTGAAGCCCACTTAAGATATACGACGGTTCGAGAGTCTTCACCGGTCAAGCTGCACTGTCGAGCCGTCCGAAGATACTGATGTAGAAATCCTACGAAGAACAGACAATTAAACCTCCCAACATTCAAGATTCCGTCAAATCCCCGAACGCGGCTCCTCTACCCTCTCTTCGTGCAATGCGAAGTCCTCCCCCGAGTGCGCTTGTGACATTGTCCAGCGTACGGTTGTTGCAGGTTTAAGTGTCACGTGGCGCTTTTCGAGTGGGCCGTTCAGCCGGCAAAGCCGGCGCCGGACTCCGCCGAGGGGAGTTGCCTGCACGCGGCGCTCGTGATGGAGCGGGGTCCGGTAGACGTGCTCCGCTTTCCGGTCCGGAGTTCCGGCGGAAGACTGAGGGCGAGGGACGTCGTAAAGCACTATATCGAGGACGGAACGCCGGAAAAGGCGAGTGCTCCCAAGCTCCCAGTGGGGCGGGGGAATTCGGTAATCTTTTGACGATTATCAAAGATCTTTTTCCGGAGGAGCGACTGATCGGAACGAGATTCGGAAACTTGGAGATGATTTGGACAGGGATGTCGGACTTCCTTGTTGTGACAAGGCAATCGCGGCTTTAGGAGAACCTGGGTTCTGTGCTCGGGGCTGAGAGCGTTCTAATCCAAAACTGCAGCTTTCTGAAAGCAGCCTGTCAGTGATAGTGGAAAGTTTAGTGTGAAGAAGGTAGTCGCCTACTGGTGAAGACAACTAATTCGTTATCCGACCGAGACATAAAGTGCAATTCACAGCAGAATGGGTGCTAAAATTAGGCCCCAAAGTCTTGCCGTCGCTAAGCGTCTGTGCAGGCTCTCAAAGTGGCAGTTGTCCTGCCAAACGGCCCGACATCGGTTTCTAAACTAGGCATTGTAAGCTCAGATTATTGAAATGGGAAGGGTAGGGTTAGTAAGCTGGTTAAAGTGGGAACGGGTGCGGAGCGGTGAATATTCGGGTTTAGCTTCTTAGTGTTAGCTTCGTTCGTACTACAATATGAGCTTACTATAAGAAGTGCTGGCCTGACCCTTATTCTGAAGCTAAACCCTTCTTGCAGGCACTCGAAGTCGCGGCCGCCCTGCCCGATGCTCTCGAGCGCTACCACTGCCTGCTCCAGATCCTGCCGGCCCTCCTGCGCCAAACCCTCAAACCCCGCGCGGCCGACGCGCTCCTCGACCGCGCCGCGCAGATGATCGCTTCGCCCACGTGGGATGACGTCAGCCCGCAGCAGCGGGAGGCGCTCCGCGCGCTGGCGCGGCGGTACGGCCAGAGACTGATCCGCGCGGGGTGCGCGGAGCGCGCGTTTCGACTGGGAAGAAAACTGGAGGTACGATTCCGTTGGAAAATGTTGTTTGGCGGGAAGAACTCTCGTACTGGGGTCCTCCCTCATGAAACAGAGAGGAAGTGGGGGTGTGACATCGGTTGGAACTTTTCGGAAAATCGTTGCGAAGAGGTTTCGTTGCTTGGTTTCTTGACTATTTCGAAAGGAGGGCGGCCATGGATCGTGAAGCTTTCTTGGCGATGAGAGTGATTCGGTTGGCGCCGGGGCGGGACTTTCGCTCTTTTTCCTGCGCCTTTCTCGGATACCTTTCTCGGTTGAATTTGATTTTTGATTTTTTGATCGCAGACGGCCAAGATCAGGAATCCTTCCCCGTTTTCCAAACGACTTCTCCAAGATGAGATCTTGTGGGGCTTTCAAAAACAAAGTCGTTCCTCTAGTCAGATACTCGAGCTTGTAGAATGCGAGAGCACTGTACCATACTGCCTTTCGAAAGAGCCAAAACCTTTGGCTCTTGGCCATCGCGATTCCGGCCTTCCCTCCTGCAGGGGCGCACGGAGGCTTTGGTAGAGGGACCGGATTACATGCCCCTTCTGATTCGTTGTATGCGGTTGCGATTAACCTGGTGTTAACGTGACACTTGGAAAGCTCGTAGTATGCGGCTTCGGTTTACCCTGGCTTTTGGGACAGCTGGAAAACTAAATCGCGCAAGCTTCTTGAGCTTTCCATGATAATGTTTATTCCATGAGACCTTCCGAAAGGACCAAAGCCTCTTGTTTCTTGTTTCTTGTTTCTTCGGAAGGACGACGCTCTCCTTTCGGACGTCCTCGTTTGGGCCGTCCGAAACGACGAGGCCCCGCTTGCGGACGCTGTGAAGCGCCTCATTGTGCAACCGGCTTTGGGAAACCGGGACGCCGGCGGCGGTCCGCTTTCCGCGGCCGCGAGCTTGCCGACACCCTCCGAGTTCCGCGCGTTAAGTGCATTAGCTGTATGGTAAAGTCTGCTGTCCTGTACAGCGCGTCTTGTGTCAGTCCGTTGTCTTGGCAACTATAGTACAAGTCTGCAAGAGGAGAAAGGCTTGACAAAAGCCCACAAATTATATGTTTCGGAGGGTTTGGTCGTCATCCGAGTCGCCTTTCAGGTGAATGAAACATAGCGGCGATTGCGAGTGGCCCGCTTTAAGAAATCAACTGGTTTTGGAGGGTTGACGGAGAACGCAAACAAACACGAGTTTTTTGCTCCCCTAGAGAATGTACTAAGAGGATGTGGGAGTACTCGTGTAGAAGGGCGCAGACACTAGGGTGCCGGGATGTGACGGGCGAGGCTCTCTAGCATGTGGCAGAGGGCCTCGCACTGTCGGCTTCCCCGGGCCAGAATGAAGAGGGTTCTTTCAATCGTGGTCGTGATTTCCTATCCGCCAGAGCATGTATGGCCCAGAAGACGTCCAGGAATAGATACTTCAGCGGGGCCCGCCATCATGCCACTGGCCGAACTTTTAGTGGCCCTAAGTTCCCCTTATCGAGCAAGTGGTATACTACTATGGCGTGGCCGACCAGCCTGCCTGGCATTTAACTTGGAGTATGCACAGCAACGAGAGCATGCAGGGCTTTGCTAACCAGACATCGGTCGTCTCGAAGCTTAGATCATTTCACACCGCGCACTCATTGGCCAGGCTTGGCCCTAAGAAGCTCTAGCTCACGGACTTTGCATTGAATATACCGTTTAATTGCCAATATGAGAGCCAGATGTCCGCCGGTACGTCCTCGGCGGCCGCCGTCGCGGCATGTGTAGACATATACATGCGGATTTCAGAATCCTCGAGTTAACGATATACACCATGGGAGGCTAGGCATGATGAAAGGGATCTCATGTGAGTACGTACCAGTTAGTATCAAAAGCTATAGTAAGCTCATAAGTTCCATGAATGAATTGCGGCCATGTGGAGCCGCGCCTGTGATACATCCGATCAACATGGCACGATATTCAACCGACCGTGCATAAGCCATAACACCGATTTTTCGCAGCTATATACGGCATGTGCGATCCTAGCAACTCACGAGGAGGCCCGCTGAGTCTGACTATCTTCTCGAGCTTTTGGTCGACACAAGCGCAGCACAACTTGAATCGTCACTGCTGGTGACAACATGATCAACATTGAAAATTAGCGTGGCAACATTACAAAACTTCTAGATTACCGTTTGCTATCGCTTGCAGCTATTATAGACCAGGGCCGCAGCCGCACTTCAACAGCGAGCTTAGGAAACCGCCTTGACTTTCCATGGGGCTTAACTTGACTTACATTCCTGTACATCGCACCAGACCGTCGCACAACCTTCGTTCGCCCTTCGTTCGACTGTCCTTGTGAATGAGCCATCCGACACCTGCCCACGGGCTTGCAACGCCGGAAGTGTCCGTTCGAAGATTTTCGCAGCCGCTGCATTCATCCCCCGAACGCCTCCCACTTACGGACGCTCAAAACGGTCACCGAGACTCCCCGTCCCTAACCGGCAACATCTCTATAATCGCCGGGGATCCCCCGTCGGCCGACTCTTCAGTGGCCACTCTAGTTTCCCGACTTCCTTCTACCGGCACCGCCCGAACGACTTGGCTCGACTCCCCGCTCCCTTCGACTGGCGACACCCTCCCGGCTTGACTCGACTCGGCCCCCGCCGCAACCCGCGAACTGTGCCGAACGTCCTCGGTCGCGATACTGATCGCCCCGCTCATCGCCAGCGTTTCCACACTCGGGTTCTCGCTCATTCCGGGTTGGATCACAACCACAAACGACCGCCCGTCTTTGCCAACCACGCACGCCTCGTCGCCCCCGGTCTCTTTCCCGGGGTCTAGATTCACCTCGTACATCGGAACGTCGACCACCCGCGCGCGCACCCCGCCAGGGGGGACGAACCGCAGCAAACTTCCCCCCCCGACTCGAGATGCCGACATGTGCGCGAGGTTTCGCCGCACGCGCGCACGCGCGAGCCGCCGGTTGCGGCATATGCCGATCAGGCAGCCGAGGGAGAAGACGACGAGGACGCACGCGAGGACCCCCCCCACCATGACGATCACGCGCACGAAGAGCGTGTTGCTGAAGTAGCGCTGGAAGTTGTACAGGTCGCAGTACTCGGTGGACGACTGCATGATCTGGAACGTCAGCGGGATGGCGCTCTGGCACCTGCAGGGGGGTAAGCAAAATCTTCAGAGCGCAGTTCGTCAATGAGTAAAGGACTTGGTTTGGGGGGGGGTTGGACGACTGCATGATCTGGAATGTAAGCGGGATGGAGCTTTGGCATTTGTATGGGTTAAGAAGAAGGTAAAAGGTAAGAGCTGAGACCCGGATTAACTTGAGGATTGTGTTTGAGGATTTGGACGACTGGCACGGTGAGGCGTATTGTGCAGGATGGCGCTTCGGCACCTGTCGGGGGGGTAAGAAAAGGTTCGGAGCACATCAACGTTTTGGTTTGAAGACTTGGTTTGGAGTCGCGTTGGACGACTGCCTGACGTACACTGCAAGTGGCTGGCGCTCATTGGGGGTAGGGGATTCGAGGACTCGACCGCAGACCAGCGGTGTTCTGCACAAGTGTTTGATGCCGGAAGAGGAGTTCTTGAGCTGTTTTGATCTGGGGTTGGAAGACTGTTCACCCGACACCTGCACCGAATGGGACTTGAACAGGGGAGGCAGAGAAGACCAATGAACTTGATCAAAATTGAGTCAAAAGCGAGCCTTGCACTTCTGCCTTGCTTGAAACGCCCTGAGTACTGGGGCAGAGGAAAGCGGGGGGATCAGGGCTGAATTTGTGCTCACGTCGGGTTACAAAAGTATTGGGTTTGTACCTTAGGCACCTCGAAGAAGGGGGACAAGAAAACAAAGAGCCAGGCCGGGGATATCATACCAAGCCACCCTTGTACAAAAGAAAAGTAGCGGGATGAAAAGCAATCAACTGCTCTAGAACGGAGTGTGACCGATGGCTTTGATATCTTTGCTCGCTCAAAGGTGCCACCGGATCCGAGCATCAAAGAGCGGATGCGAAGCTCGCGAAAGAGTTCGGGTGATCTTCGCAATGGGAACAGGCCCAAGGCGAAATCAAAAGCAAGATCACGCTCTCAATTCAAACTTCGAACCTTTTCCAGCCAAAGTGCAAGCTGAAGCTATGGTCCACTTATACATCTCAAGCGGCCATATGTGATGCAGAAACAGTCATTCTGAGAAACTCTATCACCGAATGGCAAAGCTATGTTCAGCACAGAAAGTGCATGCAACCTTTGATGCACGCAGCCCTTAACGTCTCAAATAGCAGACTGCCCATAGTTGGACAAGGTGATTAGCTAAACAAAACCAAGCAAACTTTGATATCTCGGGCTGCAGCAAATCAGTGCACTGTTCGTTCAGTCTCCCCCGTAGAGGGCTCCCCTCGTGCCAGCAACAAAAGGGGATGCAAACATTCTGCTGAAAGTCCAATGAGTTGCTTTGGAAAGTTGCTAGTTGATTCAGTGTGCTGATCAGACTGTAACTATGCGCACGCAATCGCAAATTATTGGACGTAGATACGAGGATCGAAGCAGCACCCACCCCTTAGGGTTTGCTAACAGCCCTGTACAAAAGTTGCCGGATACAATCCAATCAAAACTGGGCTCTCTTTTTTTTGGGCTGTGAATCACAGCACACGATTTCCTGAGATTATAAAGAAGGGGCGATCAGAAAGGGAGAAGAAGGTTGTTCATTCTATCACTGCAAAGAGATCCCCTCAGGCAAAGCGAGTAAAATTGATACGACGAATCCAAGAGGCAGACTTGAAAGCACAAAGGCAGTTTTCAGTTCAACATGTAACAAGCAACATTACGACCACTCCACACAAACTCAAGGCCAAAGCAAAACCACCAACCAGAGGCCGTACCTGTTGTACAAGAAGAGCGTGCTCCGCAACTTGTTCTGGCACGCCGCGCTGAGCAGAAAACTCCCGTTTACCAACGAGGATGGCAGCGACCTCGGGTCAGGAAACGGCCCCCCCGAAACGTTCCAGAACGCGGATGGCAGCGAGGGACACGTAAAGAACGACGTTTGCTGGCGCCCCCCGGCGTCCGCCACACTCCCCTGCAGCATTGCGCGTCCCCCCCTCAAATGCACCCCAGATGGACCCCCCTGAAGTGCACCACTCGGGGAACCCCCCCCGGTTTCCCACCCAAAACTCCCCCCCTGGAATACGTCCTCAAGAGGACCCGCCTCTTCTTCCTCAAAGAGCCCGGTGATTGGTCGGCGCGCATGGAGCGGTGCCCGACCCAAAAGCGGCGCCGGAGCGCTCGTCAAGTGCGCGAAACTTCTCAGCAGAATAGAGGAGAACCAGCCCCGAGCACTGGTTTCGCTCCCGCCTACAATGCTGAGCAACCTCCGGTTGATCGTGTTGCCAACCCTCGTTGGGACGAGCAGGTTCGACGTCGTGGCGCCCGGGTCCCCCCCGGACGCTACGACCATCACCTGCGGCCCGCCGATGGTCACGCATCTAGTTGCCGCGGCTTCATCGGCCGCGAAGAATGTCCCCAAGAACGCGGTGTCGGTGTCTGCCGCCCCTACAGTTAGTAAGCTGCATTGCAGCGGGGGTGCGGTAAAGCGGAAACTGGTCTCAGCAAAAACTAGGGGTAGCAGAAATGAGGAGAGGAGGAAGAATGCCAGTAGGGGCCTGATTGGTGCTGACATGGTGAGGATGAGCTCCTGGGAGGGGTTTGTCTGACGCTCAGGTAGGTTCAAGGCCCCAAAGACAACCCAACGCTTTTGACGGTGTTTTCAGCGCGCTTTTTCTCAGCGCTGAGAACATGCGCAGGACTCTGAGAGGGAGCAACCCTTATTCGTTCATTGGCGTTCTCAGGAACAGCCTACAAGTTGTAGGTCGACCTCGCAGTCTCCGAATCCCAACGATATCAAGCGACGGTTCTGTAGATATTATACGCAAGGGGCAACAATCGAAGTTTGGCTGCTACAAACTTTGCTACTACCTAATAGCTCCTTCGCCCCCTGCAAGCTGCGTCCCTGTCCAGCTAGTGCACTGTGCGACACGGTACACCCTTCTGGCAAATGCTTGAAGTTGCAGAACTTTGAAGCCTGATCAGGCTGATGTCAGATGATTCAAGAAACATTTTTCTAGGTAATATATCTCAGAAGCCAAATGGACTTTCCATCTTTGCGATGCTCGTATGTCACCTGATTTTCCAGTGGCTTGTGTTTATTTACAGTGTTGTATCAGATCAAGATGATGTGGAAGTCGCGGCCGCGGATGGATGGGCTTTGACAAAAGCGCGACTGAATTTACGATTAACAATCATTCAATCTGCAATATGCAATATGCGCGTTGTACCCGCCTTCGGAAAACTGGTATTAGCGCGAGCAGCTAGCGCAATACCTCCAAATTAGGGTTCCGACATGCCCAGGCCCAGCTGCCAAAGTTGTCCAGGTCCTCGGCAGAGCATTGATTCCGTGTGGGCGACAGCCACTTTTGAGCTTACTTAGCTTAGTTGCCTTGCAGGTTACTGCTCTTGTCATCACGTTGGCATCTTAGCTGCTGTAAAGGCGATTTCAAATGCTTGAATAAGAGCGAAGAAAGATATAACGGAATGTAGGACTCACTTTGTGGAAGAGGCGCCTCTTGCAAGCGAGCGGGACAATCGTCCCAATGTTGAAAGAAGCTGCGATTGAAGCTCATACAATAGAGACTGTAAGAGTCTTGCAATTCAGCCTAGCATGGCCCCCTTTTGCCTTCATTACCAAGACTATATCTCCTCGCAGGAGTGTTGAATCAAACAATGTGAGCCTTGCGGTTGAGCTTTCAAACGCCGCTTGACTTTCTTTCATCAAGCATGTCGCAGGTGGACATTCTCCAGCTGTCTGAATCGCACCAGGACTTCAGCAACTTCGATCCTGAGCACCGATTTGAGGATGCATTTTCACCAGCTGAGACGAGGCAGGTCCAGGTGCTTCTTTGGGACCATGTGAAGACGCTGCTTCAGGAGGCTGAGCAAGAAGAGGTCAAGAGAGCACTTGGGGCAGCAGCGATCGAAGAGAATGAGCAGCTCTTCAGGGAGGCTGCGAGCTTGGAGGAGATCCTGGGGGACTTGCAGCGGGGTGGGGAGAAGCAGGCTGAGGTGCAGAGGCTGTTTGAGACTCCGGCGAGGAGCCTGGTGAGCTCTTAAATCTCTGCTTTGGTTTCTCATCTTCGTTTCTTCCAGCTTTGTCGTGGTTTGTGGTCCGTGGGAATTTGCATTCTTGTCGCTAGATATAGAGCGGACGCTTTTTGGGTTGCGCAATCTGGCCTCCTTTGCCAAACCAGCAAAGCGAGTTGAGCTATGGAATTGTTATGCAGATAGACACCGTAAACCATGACGTCTAAGGAGTTTGTTCTGACATCTGTCTTTATGTACACACAGCGGTTTAAATGATGATTGCCCACAGTCTCTCCAATCTCCCTTTGAAAGCAAGAAGGCCGTCAGCTTTTCACAAACTTTGTGACTAGCGATCAGTCTCGATTAGAGTTTCAGTTTGGCTGCTATCTAATCAAGAACATGGCCCAATTTTGACCCAAGCGAACATGAGGACTTCTCCATGCCTCTTGATATACTGCTCACCACCACGGAGACAAACGAATCTAACAAGGATTTACACTCCAAGAGAAGCGGAACACAGTGCCAATTGCAAACTTGAGCAAGGTCGTCTTCTTATTCTCCCCAGGTTGAGGATGAGATCCGGCTCCTCCTTGAAGCACTCCACCGGTCCAGCTCTGAAGACGTTCCAAACACCCAGTTCGACAATCGCTTTCCCGAACCCCTCCCTGACGAGCCACAGGAATCAGACAACTTGGACTCTCCTGAGAGCCCCTCGGAGTCCTTCTACTTCGTCAAAGCGCCAACGCCACAAGCGAGCAAGTCAGCCAGTATTGGGACTCAGCACTCGCTGCCAACTGATCGCAGCTCGCCAACAGCTTCTAACAACTTCCCAACGACTTATGCTCACCTGCCGGCCGCTTATAGCAGCCTTCCTAGTCGGAGGGACTGCCACAGCGCTCCGATCCCTGTCCAGAATGCAAAAGACAAGCAGATCTTTGAGTATCTCACAGCTCGGCCCGCATCTAGCGGATCCGTACGGCCTCGGACGTCCGACGGGCGAAGCCTTCTCCGTCCGGGCACTGCACACCTCCCGCGTCCCGAGACCTCGGGGGGTGTACTTCTAAATCCACTCCCGAGACCGCAAACCGCGGCTGTTCGTTACTTTCCAGACGATTGTGGACGGTTCCTCACGGGACAGAGCTTGGATTCTCCTGTTTGGGAGCGTCCGTCGAGCGCCACATCTTACGGAGGTGCATCTTCTAGGAATTCACGTGCTGACCCCATAGAAAGCCCGCGGTGTTCTGTACGAGCAACTGAAACGAACGGTCCCGCAAGTTCTTCGGGGCTTAACCAGCGGGGCGTAGAGTCGGGCGGTTCTTCGAGACCGGGGTCACAACGAGGGCGGGCGCTCTCGAGAAGTTCAGACGGTTCGGACCGCAAGGCAGACGGTTCGGACCGGGGGGTGGGTAGCAGACCGGGCACCGGAAGCTCCCTCGGGGGGCATCAATCGAGGCAGATCGTAGAGGCTGTGGCTGACCGGTTGAACGTGTTTGAGGTCGGGGCGGTGGCGGCGCCTCTGCAAAGGGCGCTGGCAGATGAGCGGGTAAGTCCGTCCCGAAATTACGCACTTTTTCTTGGTCTACTTGCACTTTTATCTTTTACACCAGCGCTGTCTTGGTAGTGGGCGTGCGAGGTGTCAAAGAAACCATTCGGGGTTTGGCTGTGGTATCGTCGGCCAGAACTCGGCATAAGTTCCGGTCAGGCCAGGTATGTTGCTCGCCCGTGCTGTGATGAAATGGAACTTCAGAAGGAAGGAATACGCACCCCGTGTTGCTTACTAAGCACCACCTCCACGGTAGCTGGAAATTTGGATTCGTAAAATGGCAAAACCAGTCATAAATAAATTGAGCGCCGATGTATCCGCAAAAATGGCGCTTGCCACGGTTCTTCCGACCATGTCGTGCGCGGATTGCTCGCATCAGACATGACCGACAGATTTAGCATACCGCACAAAAAGCAGATCTTACACTGGCATGTCCTCTGATTGTTGACGAATTGCTTCAAGAGGGCGCTAAGCAGGTGGTTGTGCGGCGGTCCCTGTGCGAGAAGAGAAGGGCATCACATCTGACCATGTTATGGCGACCAGATTATTGGCACACGGGCCATCTGGTCGCCGCAGCGTTACGGGCCACAAAACGTTAAAGCTTAACACGCTGTAACCTACACCCCTTGAATGCAGGCGGCACTCTTGGAGGACATCGAGTGCCTGCACCAACTGATTGACGAGGAGGCGGAGTCGCATCATAAGGTGACTGTCTGCCCCGGCGACGCGCTGAGAGCGTGCTGACGTTGTTTTCTGCGTTGGCTGACGTTACAATTTGTCTCTCGCGTTAGCTTCGCAGCAATAATTTTAACCGTTTCGTAGGCCGGATCATTGTATGGTCTTGCCGACCAAGCCGGAAAAGCAGATTTGCTGGAGCAGAACAACAGTCACTTGGCAATTGCACGACGAAGTGCAGAGTGCGGGAAGAAGGACAACGGACTGCCTCACCGAAACGATGTTTGAACGTGTGAGGTTAACCTTTGAGAAGAGAAATTGGCGAAGAACTGGCTTTTGCTTGTATGTCAACCGAACCGGCTTACGTGCAGATCGGAAGGAGTTTGTTTGTCCGGCTTTCTTTGAGCCTTGCCATCTGTGTTTTAGATCTGCTCAGTTTGATAAGCTGGCTACTCAATTGCAGGCACAACCGTCGCTTGCTTCCGGACTGCCTTCCAAGAAAGCCTCGGTCCCTGGACTGTTTTCGTTCGTTCAGGTGCTTTGGACTGCGACTGTGGGATTGAAAAATTTTCTTCGCATTGCCGTGTCTGTGAGTCGAGCTTCTGCGTCTTGGTATCAAGTCCGTCCCCAGCACTCAAGGTGTCCCCAACCTAGTTCTTAGCTCAGAAGCTCTGGAAGAAGCGTGGCCCAATGAGCAGATCATCCGGCAGACAATCGAGTGCTCAGCAAACGCAGCGACCTCCTGGTTTGCTGTTGAAACCCAGGTCGAGTCAGCTGGCATCTCAATTTGGCCTCGCACAGTCTTTCTTTTTCCGTCCTCAACCTCCAGCCTTGGCCGTCGTGGCAAGCGCATTTATCCAGGTTCCAACAAAGTACCTTGTACAAAAGGGAAACCAAAATGCTGACAGATTCGGTTGGCGGCGGCTCTTGCAGGCGTCGCGGCCGCCCCCGTCCATCAAAGATTTGCGCGACTACGGCGCGCGCCTGGAGGCGTCCCTGCGCGCGCACATCGTAGAGGCCAATCTGACGCGCGAGCGGGCGTCACCGGCTCGGACCAGTAAGCAGATCGCTAGTGAGGCGAGAAACGGGAGGACTGGGGAATCCAGATTAGCAAGTCCTCGGAAAGTCGCGGAGCAACATAGCGCTGGAGGTTGGGAAGCGGGTACTAGGACCGACGGGCCTCGAGGTGACGGAATCAGCAAAGAAGAGGGAGTGAGACGTAATGGCGTTGATCGTCACATGACCGCAAACTGCGCCGGAGTTGACAGCCACAAGGGGGAATTGCAGAGAAGCAACGGTTGTGGGCGTACACAACAATCAGAGAAGAAGTCAAATGCGTTGAAACATGTTACGACCATCAAGGTGGATCGACTGGAACAGTTGCCTGTTTCAGTCGGAGACGAGGATGCGTCAGGGGAGCGCTGGAGCCCTAGCATGAAACGGACGTCCTCAAGCAAAGTTCGGAAGTTTCGCAGTTTCGTGATGGACTTGCAGACCGAAGCCTCTGGCGCTGCGTCGCTGTGTCGAGCAGAAATAACCTGAAAGAGTCTCTTTGCTTCTGTAAGCGAAAGTGCTAACGGCGTACTAAGAAAGAAACGCAGGATCTGCCAACGACTTTCAGGCAACTTAGATCACAACGTGGCAACTCGTCTACAATTGCAAGGTGATTGTCCGCCTGCATAGGTAGTAGTGACGGCTCCTTGGTACGTCCGTGCATTTGCGAGGCTGTTGCGCGCCATACCTTGAAGCCTTGATCGCACTGTGTGAGATCTCCAGAGGGGCTGAAACCAGGCTGTGCAATCAGCGCGGTCCATTCGATGTATCTGATACCAGTTGGCTGACAGAACGTGACTCAGTTTCGGGCCAATGTGGCACAGGTCGATGATCCACAAGGCGGCCAGGCTCGACTCAGCGCCAAAGCATGTGCGAATGTTTGCACCAAACGGCGATTCAATTGACTAAAAGATGCATCAGATGTCGCGCTCAGGTTGTCAAGTTCTTAGTGACATGTTACACGTTATGAGGCTCTTTTGAATTCAATTTTGAAAGAGCCTCATTGCTCTAGTTAACATGCATAGCAATCAGTGAGTGACTAATATGCCACCAAAAAGAAAGCGATATGCGCGACGTACATGCACTATAGTAAGCTATCATTCTGGCACGTTGATCAGGCATGATCGAGAATCGAAACGTGTGATGCAGACTTCGTGTCGAATTGGGAAACTAGTTCTACACCTATACTAAGCTGCACAAAGCATGTAATATGCGGGGCCCTCAAGGAGGCTGTTCTTTCAACCGCTATAATGCATCATGGCCACTGCACTTATGCATAAAGAAGGACATGATCACAAGTATGAGCTCAACTGATCGTTGACAAGCTTGCAAAGCATGCTTTGTTGCTCAAAAGATGCAGGAAATTGATAACTCAACCTGATTTAGCTTTCAAGGCTGCTCAGTTTGTTGGACATTGCGTTCAGAGTCCTGAGTAGAAATCTGAAAACTTGGTGCTTGTTGTAGGGCTGTAACCTAGCTCTGCATTCAGAATGAATGTGTAACAACCACAAAGGGCCGTTGGTCAATTGTGCTACCTAAGTATATCATAGAGTGCCTTTTTCGATTTGTCTGTAGAACAGGGACCTATGTACAACTCCTTGCTACGTAATCACTATACTTTCAACTCGAGTTCTCACAACCGCGGAGGGCGCGTAAACTGTTACTATTGTACTCCACTGCGGATACTCTCAGAAAAGTGTCGAGTCAATCCTGAACTTGACCCTGTGTTGTAGCTCTTATTTGCATCCCAGCATTGCCTAGTATACCTGCAGAAGAAGCAGTAAGCAAAGGTTGGTCCCTGAAGTAGATAGTCATCCAGCTTGAAGAAGCAGGACCAGTCCATCCACAGGTTGATGTCAGATATACTATCAAACAGGCCAGTGAATGCTGTGCCTACTCAAGAGAGGCTCGCAAATGTACGAGAGACCTGTGTACCATGCACAAGGACTCCAGTGAATGCTACAAAAACAGGATTCCAGAAAAAACCTTACATGCTCAAAGAATGCTCTCAATGTTGACCTAGTTCCCGAACAAGTAGCCCAGTGAAGAACCCCCTCCTGGAGCAGCTAGAACCTTCGACGTTGGACGATCCTGTACACAGAGTGGAAACACTAATCAGGAATCCAGAAGAGCATTTTGCAGCGGAGACAGAATGGCAGACTCGGGTGCAATCCTGAAAGGCAACACACCTTCAAAGGTACTTTAGCAAATGCATACCATCTTCTGTAGGGACATTAGGGAGACAGTCTGCTGATTCTCTGAGCCTCCTTGTTCACTGAGTGCTCTGAGGCTCAAAACTTAAAGTCTTTCCTCTTCAAAATGGCGTCTTGGCCTCTTGCACTGCACACACATGCTTGACTCGTCCAATCTGCTTGCCAATGACGTCAAAGATGCTCAGGTTTACTGACGTACAGAAGATTAGAAACCTATGACCTTTTGGAATTTGAGGGAGCTTTCTGGAAATAAGGAGGGCACGGTTTCTTGATAAAATACAGCAGCTATCTTACCGTGATAAAGTTGCCGGTGTTCTGACCCTCGACCCTGACATAGTTGTTGTTGTTCCTCCCCAATTGCTCTGGCTTCTTGTATTCGCTGAAGGACAGAGAGTTATGGCTTTCATTTGCTGCAATCAGGTTGGGCTCCTGGTGAGCGAGAGGCGCAGAGGTCTGAGTGCCAGGCTTAGCAGTCACTTCCGCCTGCTCGCGGACCCTCCCCCTCCCACCCTTGGTGTAAGGGGCCACTGGCTCCTCTCCGCCTCCAAAGAGATAGTTCAGCTGGCTGCTCCCGCCGCCGGACATCTGACCACGACCCATGGCGAAGCCTGAGCGGTTGAGAGCGGAAGGTGAAGTAAGGCTGGGAGATGCTGATGCGTGGAAAACTCCTGTGACTGCTGCAAAAAGGCGCCTGCTGAGGAATGATTCGGAAGAATGCTCTTTTTGTTGCTGAAAAGTTGTGTGATATTTTCCGCAGAATCTTCCTCTCTTGAACAGGCGGTTGGACGCGGACAAGGACTTGACTCGAGGTCGGTTGCGACACAGGGGCAGAGAACTGTCCGTTGAGTCGCACTTGTGTCTCATCTCGATCGTCCGTTGGGCCACGTCAAAAGAAGTCGTTGGTAATGGACGGATGACGATGAAGTTGCTGGATCACTCGTAACGACTTCAAGTTCAAAAGTGGCGAGCACTCAGCAGTCCTACCAAATTGAGCACTGGTGACTGCCGCTGACTCTCGAGTCTCGAGTCTGGCACAGCCTGGCAAAGCACTTTTCATCGGAGATTCCGAGAAGACTTTTGGGCCCCGGCCCCCTACGTTGATGAGAGGACTAGCCAAGCAAAGCCTGGTTTCTGTGCAACTAGAGCGGCCGTAAAGTCAATCTAGGAACGTTCAAGGGCCCTGCACCACCTTCCAAGTTGAAGTTTCTTCTTTTGAAGATGCTTTTGCAAGTCAGTTTGTGGACAAAGTGCAGCAGGTGTAGCATGGTTGAAGGGGGCTAGTGTGTTAGCAAACATATGCTCTGCATCAAAATCGCATCTAAGCTTCAGCATGACATCTCATGTCTATCTATGAGAACGTAGAATGAGGCAGGCGCCGTAAGGTGAAGTGCAGGCAGGATGGGGGAAGGGGAGGGTGGCCCTGTGCACTACGAGCTTGAGGATGTCTCAAGTCAGAACGTCAAGGTGGCCTTGAATATACGACCACTCATTGCGCAGGAACAGATTGAAGGATGCAGCGAGTGCATCACTGTGATTCTTGGAGAACCACAGGTAAAGTACAGGGTTTCTATCTTGTTTCGATATGGCCTGCATTTGGTAATTGGAAGTTGGCCTTGAGTTGGCATGCGCATAATCAGTATGCATGTCGGAATGGTTGATTGCTTTGAAATCAAACGGCGGGGAGCCTGGTGAAAGTAGGACTGCACAATTTTCGGTGCTTGGCAGCAATCGACTTTCAAGTAGTGTCCACGTGTATTTTGCACACCGAAGCAAAAAGCTCGGTGACGATCAAGCGGTGTTCTTCGCAGCTGCCACTTTGTGCCAAGTTTATAAGACTAGACCTCCAAGAAAGTCAGAAGTTGCTTTTCTGAGAGGGTTTTTTGGACTAAAGCTAGACATCACCCCAATCTGTCCCAATGACCTCATGGCTTCTCTTCTTTCAGGTGCAACTTGGCCCAGAGCGAGTGTTCACTTATGACTCTGTCTACGGATCTCTCGGGAAGCCTTTAAGCTACCTCTTTAAAGATTGTGTTGCGCCACTGGTGGAAGGGTTATTCGGGGGATATAATGGCACCGTGCTTGCGTACGGGCAGACAGGTTAGTAAAAAGGGTTTCGTAGTGAGTGCGGAGCGCAGCATCCACCTCAGTGGTTGTAATTGGCAAGACTGTGATCCAAGCATTTGGCAAGGTACATTGTCAGTGACGCTTGTGTGTGGCAATAAATTGCCCCACTGCAACAGAAGCCAACCAGTTCAAGATGCAAGATGCTTGAGAAAATTCTTCAGCTTGGGCTTACTGCTAGCTTTCACCATCACCAGGCCCTTTTCTCAACTAAGTGGCAAGGACCTTCCTGCAGGGTCTGGTAAAACCTACACGATGGGGAGCGGTTACACTGTCGGTGGAAGCAACAGCGGCGTCATCCCGCAGGCCATGAAAATGCTGTTTGAATTGGTGGAAAGCAAGAAAGGAAAGGCAGAGTTTCAAATCAGAGTTTCCTACATTGAGGTAAGCTTGGTATCTGGAAGATGAAGAATCGTTTTAATTCAAGAAATGAAACCGGACATGAGGTTGTTGCAACGCACTCACCGGCTGTCAATCAGAATAGCCTCTCCTACCAGTTTCTAGTACATCCTTACCGAAGGGACAGACTGTCGCAAAAGAAACGCTTTCAAACAAAAGATCCGCTCAGTGCTTGTCGAATCCTGATGTCATCAAACTCTTCCAAATCCAATATTTTCTCAAGCCGGCAGAGTTTATCGGCTCTGCCACAACAGAACGTCTTTCACGAAATCATAAGAGACGAGCCCCAGCTGCAGCGGATGGCCAGCCAACAACTTCGCGAACAAGAAGCTCCTGGCCCAACATCTCCTTCTTGCAATCACAGATACACAAGGAGGACGTCAGAGACCTGCTGGACCTGGTGTCTAACATCCAGCCATCCAGCAAGGCCCCCTCGGCCCCCGCTGTTCCGTCCTGCAAAGCCCCTATCTCAATCCGCGAAACCAGTGATGGAGGGATCACCCTAGCTGGGGTAACAGAAATGGACGTCCGCTCGATCGCTGAGATGGCGGCCTGCTTGGAGCAGGGGTCGCTGTGCAGAGCCACTGGGAGCACAAGCATGAACAGCCACTCGAGGTGAGCGAGTCCCTAGGATGTGACTGGCCCCTCCATGACGTTCCTTCTTGTCATTTCAATGAAGAGTTTCGAGGGGTCATTCTAGGGGCGTCGAACTGCCAGATACCGAGGACGGGCTTCCGTTGCCTAGTCAGGACCCCACCTTAGATATTTCTCACTTTGGTCGATGGGGTCAATGCTGAACATGCGTCATTTGTCACCGTTGATCTGGGGTGTAGCCATGCACTTTCGAGTTAGTAGCACCGAAGGCCAGATTTTATGTCCTCGAGCTCTCTCGAGTCGAATGCAGCTCGCAACCTATTGTTCTTTAAGTGCGTATGGATTTTCCAAAAGCGGACATAATTCTCGGTTCATTGATGAAACTTTCCCAATTCATCTCGCCTGGAACATTCTCTTCGAGGTCGACCGACAGTGCTCTTGTGTCCTGCAGCCGCTCGCACGCTATCTTCACGATTACACTGGAGCAGCGTCAGAAACTGGGAGCCGGTGACCTTGCCTCCAGTTCCAGTCCCGTGGTCGACGAAGACCACCTATGTGCAAAGCTGCACCTTGTAGACCTGGCAGGCTCGGAACGGGCCAAGAGGACGAAGGCAGATGGGCAAAGGTTGCAGGAAGGTATGCAAAGAGCTGACACTGTGAAGGGCCTGCAGGCCAGTTTGCTTGCTTTTCAATGCTCGAAGGAAGATCCGAATCCGACTCTCTCAACTGATGACCAAGTTGTTGTCGCATTTCTGGACGGCAATATCCAGGTCATATTACACACGAATTGAGTACTCAATGGCCTCTCAAAGGCGTTAAGCAAAGCCTTCTTGTACGTCATGCAGGCATACACATCAACAAAGGGCTGCTTGCCCTGGGCAACGTCATCAGTGCCCTCGGGGACGAGAAGAAGCGAAAGGAGGGAGGGCACGTGCCATACCGCGACAGCAAGCTGACTCGGCTGCTGCAAGACTCGCTAGGAGGAAATAGTCGGACGGTCATGATCGGTGAGATATATTCTCTTTCCTTGTTTGACACTGCAAGGTTGAGTAACTTAGAGCAATCGGGCTACACGATGGCGTTTGCTTCCAGTTCTCGCAAAACCAGCTGATTTGGGTACAAATTCCTCATTAGATTGCCTTATCCTTGGAAACTTTTATTCAGTCAGGGAGGTGATCCTCCCCCAAACGTTTCTCTCCTCAGGAAGAATTTCAGACTGCAAAGATTGTCTTTGTCAAGGCTCCTGACTTTTGAACATTCTGGAACCGTGCTTTGCTTGGTTCTGGCTCATATCAGCCTGTCCATTGTGCGCGCAGCATGCGTCAGCCCGGCAGACGTCAATCTGGACGAGACGCTCAACACGCTCAAGTACGCCAACCGGGCTCGCAACATCAAGAACAAGCCTGTGGTAAGTACGCTCGTTGGGAGACTCAGCTTATCCAACTGCTCCGAGTCTGAAGGGCCAGCTACTTGTTCACAAGCAAGGTTCTGTTTTCATGTCTCTATAGCTATCTGCTGATAGATGTCTCTCGTCCTCTTGTTAGTCTATTGACACACGGTTTTGTCTTCCCTTTTGCTTTCCGGGCTTTCATTCCGGGGGAATACTCTACTTGGCTCCTTTTCTTTCCATTCCAACAAATACTTTACTTTTCATCTGTTGGTGTGACGAGTATCAGCGGGATTTCTGGTTTCTCATCATCTCAGGTAAACCGAGACGCATCGTCAGCCGAGGTGGCCCGGCTCCGGCAGCAGCTGCAGCTCATTCAAGCGGAGCTCTTCTGCTCCCAGGCCGCTGGCGGGGGCGACTCGCAGGTAAGCCACAGCTCGACCTCTAGACGTAGGATTTGAAGTCCTTGCCATCTTCTCGTCCAAGAAATTCTTCGCACTACTTGACAACGGCACCCGCGAAGATGCGCTTCTGCTATGATATTTCAAGTGAAGGACTTGAAAGGCTCTTGTGATGGCTTTCAGTCCGCCCGGATGTCTGCACAACCAGCCCGCTAAATGATTGCCATGCAACATTGACCATGCTCCCTTGCACGAGTATGTTTACTGATTTCTCATTAGCACGAGGTCTTCAGAAGCACGAGGTTTTAGGGTCAATGGGAACGCGGTTTGAGGAAATTTCGAACCTATGAACGGTCTCACGGTTTCCGTCCGACTCCACAGGCACTCCGGCAGCACATCAGTCAACTAGAGACGGACAATGCAAAGCTCCGCTGTGACGTACGGATGGCGCAGCTGGCCACTAAAGCAGCAGAAGCGAAGGTGTCGGATGCGCAGACGGAGCGCGACCGCGTCCGGCTGCAGCTCGAGGCCTTGCAAAATGGGGGCTCCGTGGAGGATGCTGAAAAGGTAAAAGAATGAAACGGTCTCGCTGCTCGACGTCCAGTAAAGGCGTTCGTGCGTCCGCGGTAGTGGAGGAAGCGCAAACAAACTCTGCATGATTGTCAACCTCTTTGGCGACAACGAGAGGAGCCGTGGCTTTCGATGCTTGATGCACGACTGGTGTTGGCAATCCTGTGGCGCTCAGGATTTGTGAGCTGAACAGTTTTCGGACTTCTCTACAGGAGCGTCCAGAATGTGAATCGTCCTTAAGCTCTCTCGTAGATCACCTCCCCTCGTATTCTGTCTAGCATTGAACCTGTAACGGATTCTTTGTCCATCAGTGCAAACCAAATCCTCTGTGGAGAGCCATCTGGTGCCCATCCGGCAACTCACTATCGTCCTCCATCAAAGATATGCAAAGGAAACTCTCCCCGAGAAAGCGGCCATAGCCGGTTGTCCCCAAACCCAACTCGTGAATCACCTCCCCCCACAATATGGTTAAATCTAAACCTCACCCCGCAGACCATGTCCGTTGTGGAGGGCCACCTGGCGACCATCCGGCACCTCGAGGCGCAGCTCCAGGACGTGAGGCTCCGGCAGGGGTCCCGCCCCAGTTCCGCCGTTCCGGGCCGCACCTTTTCCGTTCCGGCCTCGTTCGACACCGACAGCCCCACCGGCTTGGCGACGCCCCCTACTGGACTGGCGGGAGAGAACGATAGCCCGATGCCGGGAGAGACACGTGAGTAGTGTAAATGAATGCGGCTTTATACAGATCTATTTTGTAGTAAGGATCGGCACCGCGCCTGTCTGCCTGTTGACTAAGGCGACTAAGGTAGGGTCTTGTCAATGTGAAGTCCTGCACATCGTGGGGCGCAAGTCGATCAACTCTTGACGCTTATGAGTAGCTCTCCATTCTAGGCACTCGTCGTTGAAGCATAAATGTATGCTCCTGAGACGCAAACCTCTGCGTCAAAAACTTAGGTACTGGTCGAAAAGAAACGCCCTCGCGGAGCTCACTTCCAATGCACCGGCCGTGAAACCTTCTTCATTTTTTTGGGGAGTCTGGTCGAAACCCGTTTTGCCATCCTTGCAGCTTCGTGTCTCAACTCAACGATGGCTGGCCCACTCCGTTTTTCGTCTTGCAGTCGAAGAGTGCGCTGCTCGGGAAGAAGCGGAAGCCCTAGCGGAGGCGAAAGGGTGGGAGCATCGACTGGCCCAAGAGAGAATGGACCAAGAGCTGCAGGACCTAAACAGGAAGCTCGAGGAAAAAGAGGTAGGATAGACCGGCAACTTTGATCTAAAATCTGCAGAATCAGATGTGTCTCGTTCGGCAACGTCTGGATAGGATATAAGCTTGAGCTCCGGTTCGCGACACCCAAGACCCTGCTTTCCGGACCCTTCGACCGTATTAACGACGTCGAAGGTCTTCTCGCTCGCGCCTGCAAAATTTACATCCGATGAGAGAATCATTTGTTTGTAGACACTACTTTCTTGTTCAGGGAGCGCGTCAAAAGAACCCACTTCATCTGCTAACCCTTCCGCCTTTAAGCAGCCTGGGGCACCGCAGACCGCAACCATCGAGGTGGAAAGTATGCTTGATCAGCCGCGGTCGACACTTATTTTAAACCAAATCGGCCCGGCTGTCTTAATCTCGTCTACTTTGGTACAGGCACAAATGACTCGGGCAGCGTCTAGCGACCAGCGAATGCTGACTTTGAAGGCCCACTACGAGCGTGTGCTGAAGGAGATGGAAGAGGAACGGCAGACCCTTCAGGTACTTTGTAAGAGGACTTTGGTTGTCGTACAGCAATGTCTGGAAATTGACTCAGAATAAGGTGATGTGGAACTTTTTGCTCGTAAGGCGCCCCTCAGTGATGGACCGGATTGTACGGGTTGACTATTGAAACTAAGATGCATTCCAAAATGCTAGTCATGCGTATTTTCTCTGCAAGCACCCTGGTGAGTACTTAAGCATTGACGTTTATTCCTGCAGGGTGAAAGGGACCGCTTGATGGCTTCCTTAGACTCGATGGCTGGCAAGAGCGACATTGAGAACACCAAGCTGAAAGAAACCTACAGGGGCAAAATCAAGCTGCTGGAGGAACAGGTGGGGGGCATCGCTCCTCGACTTGTTTTGCTGGCGGAGTTCTATCCAGTCGTACTGCTGCTTTAATCTGCTTTCTGAATTGTCCGGCTTTCTGGATATCGTTTCTCGCCCTGCGTCCTGCTTGAATCGTTGCTGGCGTTCTGGTCGTCTTCAGCCCGATTCTCGCTTTTAGAGACCACTTTCTCGCTGTCGTCTGGAAATTTTTCCTATCCGCAAGTGGATTGCTTCAGATTGCTCCCTGTCCGACGCATAGGGTTTGTGGCATCGCTGCGCGCAATGGGTAAATTCCCTCAGAGTTGTTGCACTGTCCTGCTTTCAATTTTGCTGCTTAACTAACCGTACTCTCCCCCCCTCGCCCACAGCTGTCCGAGTTGAAGCGCAAGCAGGCCGCCAGCGGGCAGCTCCTGCGTCTCAAGCAGCGCAGCGACGAGTCCGCGAAGCGGCTCCAAGAAGAGATCCAGCGCATCAAGTCGCAAAAGGTGGCGCTACAGCGCAAGATGAAAGTAGAAAGCGACCAGTTCCAGAACTGGCGTGCCGCGCACGAGAAAGAGCTGGGGCAGCTGCGCAAGGCGGGCCGGCGCAACGAGTTTGAGATGCACAAGCTGCAGGCGTTGCACCAGAGGCAGCAAAAGGTGCGCGGCGCGGGATATCTGGAATCGTCCTTTCGAACGATGTTGCAGAAATGCCGACAAGCATTGTGTCCCTGATATTAAGTGATTGACGTGCTGAACCCCTGAGCTGAAATGGTAGAAGGCCTATACTTACTCGTGCAACGACGATTGCTCCACACGGCCACGGGGGCTTTCGGACGACTTTCCTACTTTCTGTCGTACGAGGAGGTTTTTCTTTCTCAACCTGAATGTCAAATTGACATCAAAGCCGCCTTGAAGTTGTACTCTTTTGCAGCTTAAAGCTGGTCTGTGTCAGAAAGGTCGCTGCATGTAACACTGCTGCAGCATTTTGGGCTGTTTCCGCGTTTGGACGATGCTTGTCGTCGCGTCCGTACGCTGACATAATTCTTACACTAGGACTTGGGCAGCACAGGACGAAGAGCAACCTCTCCGCTAAATGTGAACGTCATCAACCACTGCAGGTGCTCCAGCGGAAGACGGAAGAGGCCGCGGTGGCGACCAAGCGGCTGAAGGAAGTGCTTGCCGCACGCAAACTGCTCCCCAAGGACCCGCAGCCCCAGCAAACAGGCAAGTGGCCTTCTGGTCGGCCGCGTGGGACTCGTACTTCCTTCATTTGTCTTGATAACTCCATAATCTGGAAGCAAGTGCGACGCTTCCCAGCCTGACGATTGCAGTCAGATAAGACTCTCGAAATCTCAAAGGACTCCCTCCTCCTATAGAGTACTTCGTTCCTTCCGATCTCACGTGTCAACCGCGCCCTTCGGCCGTTCTGGAATCCTGTGCTCCAAATCCTCCTACTCTTGTTTCTCTTTGAGAAGTGAAGACCCTGTTAGCTCAGCTTTTATCCACTTCGTTAGTGACGTCACCCTCCCGTCACTGCCAGGTGGCGCGCTCGCGGGCAAGTCGTCCGAGGCCGTCGAGCGGCAGCTCAAGGCGTGGCTGGAGCGCGAGATCGAGGTCTACGTCCGAGTCCAGGACGTCCGAAACGCGCTGCAGCGCGAGGTCGTCCGTAGGAAAGAGATTGCGCACCAGCTTGCGGCACTGCGGGACGGGGAGCCGCCGGTAACTAGCAGCGGCGTGTTTTCGCCGCGCAAGAACGCGGCCAAGCTGGCGTCGCTGCAGGCGGAGGTGGCGGCGCGGTCCGCGAGCATCGCGGAGCTGCAGGTAAGGAGAGCGTCCAGTTGGTTCGTACCATCAATTGTGGCATTCATGTCGACCGAGTGACCTGTCACTGCCCTTTAGGGGCCGCACCGAGACTTCATACCCTTGCGAACGTGGAGTTGTGTTGGCTTCTTGTTTGGACAGGGGTTTCGATGCCGTCGTTTCTTGCTGCGAACACGAAGGACGACTTCTCCGCTGTGTCAACAAAAGGGTTTCATTGAGCATCTCGCGGCAGCGACGGATCAAGTGCAAAGCAATCAAGAGCTACTACACCGTACGTCCCCTCCAGGGATTGTTCTTATATTCTGGTAGATGTTCTTGCATTCAGGGAAATCTTCGTTCTTGCGGAATGGGCATGTAACTCTTTTTGGGATTCTTAAGTAAGGTGTTTGTCGCCCCTGCAGGCGCAACTGCTGTCGGTGGAGGAGAGTCAGAAGGGCCTCTCCAACCCCGCCCACCGCTGGCTGCACGTGCGCTCGATGCCGGAGGCGCGGACTCTGCTCAACATCATGTTTGCCGCCACGACCGACTCCAGGTAAGGGTCCAGAGAAGGGCGGGTTTTCCAGGGTTTGTACACGCCTAACAATGATGAGGAACATTGACTAGGTGAAGGCTATATGACTTACTTTTACCAGTCGTGGCACTTGTGCCGGCAGGCAAGCCATTTACATTTCGCGTCGAAGCTTCTGCTTTTACGCCCTGTTTAAAGCGGGTTCGCTACTAGTAAGCATTAGACCCTCGTTACGATCGTCCTTGCTTTTGTTCGACGGCAAGTCGATCCATCAGAAAGCAGAAAGTTCTGACGTTTGTGTTTAGTGCGTGGGGCTAAGGTCGCTCCCACCTTCGTAAAAGTATCAGCTTATTCTTGCTAGATGTCTAGCAAACAGACTCGATGGATGCTCGCCGCAGAGCATCGAAGAAGGGCGTTTCCAGTCTCGGCAGAGAGCATGGAGATTTCTTTGCGCAGTGATCAACATGCCGACATCGCTTTGCAGGTGTCAGCTCCAGTCTTTACACGGCGACTTGGAGTACATGCACGAGCAGGTGGCGCAGTACGAAGTGGACCTGCGGTCCGCTCAGGAGGATCTGCGCCGGCGGAGAGTCCAGGAGACCGCGGTAAGCAGTGTCAATGCACCTCTCAGTATTACCACAGGATTGGCATTCTGACATTTTCTGCGCTTTGAGAGGCAAGGACGTCTGCTTCGGTGACATCAAATGCTCTCGGATCCTTTTGGAACTGGGACGTAGCATTATGTAGCCGCTCTCTCAACGATAGGTGACCGCTTTGTTTTCAGCGGTCGTAGCCCGAGGTCAACATTGAAATCTTTATTCATGAGGCACTCCCGTCAAAAAGTGCCTTTAGAACATACTGGAGACGCGCGTGCGAAATCGAGCAAAGTGGACGCTGAGCCGTGTAAGCCGTCTCCTTTCCGCAGACAAAGCTGGCCATCAAGGAATGCTTCCAAAAGAGTCCCGGCACCGGTCTCGCCAAGGGCCTCGAGCAACTAGAGCGCGGCTTCCAAACCCTAAACCCCGCGCGCCCCAAACGGCGCCTGAGCAGCCTCTCCCCTATCGGCCGCATGCCTCTCGCGGCCGCGCCTGCGCCCGACGCGGCTCTCCCAAACCCCGAGGAGGGTTTGGAGGGCGTCAAGGCGACGGCCTCCGGCTACCTGGCGCGCAGGATGGGGCCACGTGGCGACTCGGACGGCGGCGATTGCGACATGGAGACGGACACGGACGGCGGGGAGGACAGCGGCGCGGAGGACTACGACGACCCGAACGACGAGGAGTACGTCCCGGGCCTGTCGCCAGCCCTGCCCGCGTATCGACGTCGAAGGGGCGCCTCGAACGGCGGCCGGCGGAGCAACCTGTCCGCCGGGAGCTCCGCCGAGCTGCAACTAGGCACGGCGGACAGTTTGGACGCGCCGGGGGGGAAGAAGAAGCGGCCGCAAAGTGGAAAACGGAGGGCCCCGTCGGAGCCGGGTGGGCTGGGTGGAGACTCTCTGGAAGGTGCGGAAGGGCCGTCTGACGGGGCCTCGGAAGGATGCCAGTGCACGGGGATGTGTAAAAGAAAGTGCGCGTGCAGGGCCGCCGGCGGCGAGTGTGGGCCGCACTGCGGGTGCTCCGTGGCGCGCTGCGCGAACAGACACGGGGCTGAGGAAGGTAAGAGCGCGTTCATTCCTGTCGGCGTCACTTTCGGTTGCTTTCGGAGCAAGGACAGCCGCCCTTATATGGGCATTCGTCACTGCCGCGTCTGGAAAAATGTCATCGGTGTACGGTTCGACGCCCATTGTTTTACTGGCCGTCCTCCACTGGAGGCGAGATCTCTTGTCACTCTGCAGTCTCCTTCCTGATAACACGGCAACTGGCGTGGCTTGACACGCGCGTTTCAAGCACAGCCTGCGAACGGCCAACCTTTGGCTTTGCAACCCCTCCACTCAGATCATTCCGCTTTCCGCTGCAGGCGACGTCGATCCGGCCGCGAACGTGGCCGCCATCACCATGGACCTCGCCGAAGCGATGGAGACCGTTGAACTCGAAGCCGCGCTTCTCCTCGGCGGCAACCAAACCTCCCCCGAAACCCTCGAACCCTCCAGAACCCTCAGCCCCGAAACCCCTCCCGTGACGCGCGACGAGCCGGCCGCGACTTCGGATGGCGGCAAGAGCCGCGCGTCGGCGAAGGTGGAGGAGGCACGTGCCTTGCTGGCGCGCCACGGGGCGAAGCTGACGCAAGCATGGCTGGAGGGCGCGAAGGGCGGGGCGGCGAAGCGCCAACCGCTGGGCGCGATTGACAAGAACCAGGTGAGCCACTCGCTGCTTTCGAATTTTTTGAGTGGGGCGGTCGGCGCAGCGAAGGTCTTCTGGCGACGCAAGCAGTGCGATGGTACGGTTGAAGCAGAGCTGGAAAGAAAACTCTGGAGGGTCCGAGGTCCGTTGCAGCAGCAGAAGAAGTCGCTGAAACGCATACCTGCGGTTCCTGCTCCCTTTCTTGGTCCTTTTCGCCTTTTGATCACATAGAGTTTCTCGTCTTGAACGAAGACATGGACCGCAGTAGAGTACACGGACATTTCACCCACTGCTGCCTCTTCCCGGAATGTCATTGCCATCTGCTGGGAGGAAGAAGCCTGGGCCGACTTATATTAGAATGCCAAGAAGGTGGCGGTGCATACCCAGGGGATGACACGCGGGAAGCGGTCTCGGATACTCTTCCATTTCCATTATTCGAATCCGCTGAGTTCCGCTCCGTGCAGATGACTCAGGCCGCGCGACTTGGCGCCGCGAAGCAGAAGCGGCGACTGTACCAGCAGACACTGCCCAACCCCCTTACGGCCCCCAACAGCGAAAGCCCTCCCACCGAGGCGCCTCCCGTTACGGGGCGCCAATCCCCATCTGAATCTCAGAACGGTTTGGGCGCACAGAATCAGACTGCAGTAGACGCGCGGTCCAACCGTCCCCGATCAGCGAATGCCCACGTGACTGTTTCTAGTTCCAGCGGACACCGGACAGCAACCGCACCCCCTGACGGTCCACAATCGGGCGACGGGCCCCTAGGAGAGAGCAGCCCCAACGTCGCCCACTGGGGCTCTGGTAGCCAAGCGCCAAGTGGCGCTGTTCCCGGCGACCGGAGGAAGCGTTCCGGGTCTTTTACTGGTCTGCAGCAAGTCGCCGACATCCTCGGCCCGCAGTCCGAGACGCCTTCCGGACGGCGGATTTCGGGCAGTCTGACTCACACCGTGTCACCCGCGCCGCAAGTTTCTGACCAGTCAGAGGCAAGGGATCCCCCGAAGCAGTCAAAAGAGCGTGTGAAGAGCCCGGGGAAAGGAGGCAAGGCGGGGAAGCACAGACGGGCGCCCAGCAGGGGAGATGGGGAGATGAGGGTGGGTGGACATGTAGACAAGGAGAATTACAGGTTATGAGGATCCAGGACGGCTTAAAGATGACCAGGTGACGAAGTGCGTTGTCTTTAATGGCAGCTTGTTTCTGAGGATTTTCAGAGCTTCAAATTGATTGAATTCTTTGGATCCTGGCAAGAGGACCTTATCAGATTCGATGGAACGACAGGCCAAAGAAAAGCTACGATAGCCGACTGAACTTATCGAAGTGAAAGTTATCTTCTTCCATCTGCATCCTAGAAAATACAATTTTGTGTCCTGGAACGAGGAACACAATCTGTGGACGAGAGTGTTCAAACCATGCAGGCACTCGGATGGTCGATATTATTAGCCTCTCTCTCATAACGCTCACGATCAAGCCACGTGCATTCCCTGTCAGTCTTGCATACACACATGCTCAAAGTGTGCTGCAGTAATCAATTTGGCCGCGAAAATTTGGTGGATGTCGAGAGGCTAATGCAGTTCAGAAGTTGTCCTTTGAAAGCAATACTCACATTTGATAGGTGCAGTGTCCGCATACTGTCTTCGCCAATGCATATGCACATGACGCGGCCACAATGAAGGATGCCTGAAACTTAATATCTCCATACTACAGCTGATCGTTGTTGGCGGTTGACTTGCATGTCTCAGAATCACGTCTTTTGCAGCTTCTTGAAGATCGGACTCATCCCACTTGCTTGAGGGCGTTAAATGACGTGTACTACACCACAGATGCGATGTGTTTCATACAGAGGTACGTGGCGACCGCCTGTGTTAGGCGTTAATGTTGGGGTAGATCCAACGTCATATCGTTCGCAAATGGCGATAATCCGGGCTGCGGCCTCTCAATGTGTAGGATATACTAATGAATCTTGAACCAGGCATGAAAATTGTTGTTTCCAACAGCAGGCAGGCTAACGTCTGACGGTATAGTTCACACGGTTGAACTACAAAGCGTGTCAGCAGGTCAGTAGATCTTTCTGATATCGAAGCCTCCGGTATCCATTGTCCATGGCGGAGATGACGCCTTGGTTTGATCAGGTATAGGACCGCATGTCATGCGATTATATGCCCTCTGCATCGATTGTCTTTGTCAATCACAAGTCCCATATGTCACTACTAGAACCTTGAATGGATGTCGGGTTACTCACATTCCAAACACCTGGAATGGTTTCTTTCTTGTGTGACGTGTCACCATTCTGGACGGCATGGAACTGTTTCGCTGTGCATGGAGCAAAGGCCCGGATTCCGAGCAAGTTCAGCTTTCAGCCAATACTTTACAGAACTTTATGAATTTAACTTGCTGTATACATACTGCATGCCCGCTTCTGACTATCGGCTGCAATATGGGCAAGAGTTCTTGACCATCTGAATGGACTCAGCAGCGGATGAGTTCGCAATCCGTATCCAACAACCTTGAGTACCTATAATGATGGTCTTCATTGCGTTGGGCAATCGATCATTCAATGCAAGAACTCTCGTTTTTGGTCAGGCTACCTTTGTTGTGAGTCCGCTTCTGGGCGAACGTACGCTCATCGGAAGAAGAGCTGAGCACACCTTTTGCACCGGACCGCTGTTGCTGGTACCACTCGATATAAGCAAGGCAGAATGCACGAGCCATGTAGAAGTCCGTTGGAAAACTTTATATCCTATATCTGATGTCAGATTCCATGATCAAGCTTGATCATTAAAGACGGGCCGGCAGCTGTTGAGCCGCGTTGTAAAGAGACTTGAGAGCCGTTGACAGGTAGGGATACCTATTACTGAACGCCTCGACGACCTCGAGTAAGCCGGATCAGGGCCCGGCCCCTTACTGCTATTCTTTTAGAACGGGGTTGAGTGCGGTAGTGCGGTTCGATTTCAGACTTTGCAATCGTATGCTGAACTGGCAGATTTCTTGAATTTGCTTGCCTTGAGCATGAAGTCCTAACGGTCTTGCGCCTGTCGACTCGGTTATATAGATCACATATGATACACATGTCGGCTGCGCGGAGCGGGTCCAAATTATTGTTGCTCCATAATAGGGTAGCTAAGCGAGAATAGGATCGTACATAATCCAGGAAACACATCAATTGGTATCTCAGGAGGCAATGGCCTCAGAATAAAAATGCAGAAGGAGATTTGGAATGCTCTATGCATGCGAGCTTAGTTGCTCGGAGTGACGTCATGATACTTCAGATATAGACCAAAACACACGCCCCTCTTCTTGATTGCTAAGACCTGAGTGGAAAACCAAACGGGGAAAAGGGTTTCGTTCGTTCGACTTTCAGCCCTTCATCCGTCCGTTAGGACTCTCATTCCCTACTCGGCAAGATTGACTGTGTACAGAACCTGTCCCCGTGATCGCACCTCTGCTGAGACGAAGTGCTCGCAGAAGCTAACGTGGTATGTGCTATGGACCAGCCGGTCGCGTACCGCAGGCCCCCCTACATTCCGGAAGTCCACAACTATCCAGGCCTTGAGCACTCCATCATTGATGAGCGGCCAGTAGCGCCCACCGGGTTGGAAGCTGCAAACCAAATTACAGGCTTGATGTCTTGAGCGAGATCGGATCCGTAACAAGATGTCTCTTAATGTTAAGAACCGCAGACACGCACCGCTTTCAGTGGGCTGCCAAGCGCGATGCCAATCTGCTGATGAGGATCTATAAGACAACCCTTGTTGCCAAAGGCCTCTTGCTCCTCGAAATTGTCGGTCAGCGCTCAAAAGCAACTTCAAGTTATTTTTATGAAGCAAAAAAGGAAAGGGGAAGGCATTGCACGCACCGAGCCTCGTGTTCCGCCAAGCCCCGGCCATCCACAAGGGCCTCGAATGCCCATCCCTGGGGCATCACAACCTTGTCGACATACGCCTTCAGCCCGTAGCGGATGCCGACGCCGGGCGAGATGCTGGCCTCCGATGGTAGTAGCGTATGTGCAGCCCTGTAGGAATGAGAAAAAGGAGCGGACGACCTGAAACAAATGTAAAGAAGATCCTTCAACATGAGAGCATGCAACCTGACTCTTGGATAACCAACAGCAATAACCAACAGCAAGGTATACAGATCTGCTTGCAAGAAGGTCAGGCTCATGAGGGGGGTCAGCACAGACGAAGCTTCTCAAGACGTCAACCGCCTGGGCCCATCCAAACACGCGAAAACATGCTGACTTTGAGCCTTAAAGGACGTCACGTTCCATAAGTTCGAGTTGCTGGTGCTATCTTACCGGTACAATTCCACATCAAACTGCGCTTCGTGGATGTCCCCCGTTTTGCTTGTGTTCAGACTCCTTTCCAGGCTCGACCTCGACATCCTTGACACAACCTGCCTCAAAAAGACCTCGATGTCCTGGGGCATGTGCTGTGCTGCAGCGTAACGCGCGCGGAAGTAGTACGTGGTATACACCTCGCGGTGTAGACCACTCGGGAACTCGATCTTCCCGAGGACGACATTCTCATGTAGGTAGCCCTTGCGGACCAGAGCGCGTGCAACTTCCGTCAGGGCCGGCCTCCGGCTTTGCAAGCCCGCAAAAGACACCTGAATGGAAAAGAGATATGACAAGGTTTAAGATGAACCAGGTTTTGATGACTTTCAACCCGGCATCATCGCATATTACTTAACATCAGATACCAGCTTATTCCCTGGTTAGTGCAGATTTACATCAGTTACCAACTTCATGCAAGGTATCGCATGACCAGAGCGAAGCGGGCAGCACATGCTGCCTACACAGATCGTCACAAAGAATGTCAGTAGCGCAACTTGATGCTGAGGGGTTGAGTCCAATAACATGCCGTTTTACTTGCTTTCTAATTGCCAAGGCAGCTTTCTGGTCGTTTGTATCATACCCCGCCTTTGAGCATCCCACCAGAAGGCCTGAATATGAACTCCAGATCAGATTGAACCCTCAGTCATAAGTGTGCCCCTGGGCAAGAATCAAGAGTTTGGGCGTGCAAAAAAGAACAGCTTGTGAAGCATTGTAAATCCACAAGCCCCCCAACTTGTATCGATGAGACTCAGCATCACTCACCGGGCCACTTCCGCTTAGAAGCTCGTCCAAGAGGTCCCACATGATGGGCGTATAGTCGTCGCTTCTGCAGGGGTGATGAAAGTGGTCAGATCAGAAGCTGGTCTTCCTATACTCTCTCAGAAGAAGGGCAACACTGTCCGCAGCTTGAGGTAGATGAAAATAAGAATCAGCTTCAGGACAAAAGAAAGAACTGCTTCAAAACCTATATGAGTTCTGCACCTTAAGGTCGTAAAGGAGAGCAACCAATGATGAGATGAACATTGATCTCAACAATTTTGCCCGGGCTGTCAGGTGCAAGCACAAAAATAAAGATGCTTCTTCTTGGCACACATCTCTTTCAGGTCCAGCCTTCATCACGGAGTGCACACACGACTGAGAAACTGCCTCCGACGTTTTCAAAGGACCAAATTTCTAAAAAAGAAGTCAGAATGCTTCTGAAAGACCAAGAAAGAAGGTAGTACCGTGGAAAAGTTCTCCCGTCCGCAAGACTTTCAACGAACGTGGGCCTGGAGAGGTAGAACAATGTCTTCTCTTGCCACTCAGCAGCGTCTGAGCAGCTGCTCGGAGACAGGCGGACTCGGAGATGGTCCATGATGAGCATAGTGATGCCAGGGAGGAGCTCTGCTGCCTCAGCGACCATCTCCTTCAGCTCCCCGAGTGAGCCCTTCTCGAACCCCAGCAGCCTCTCATACTGCTCAAAGAGCTCGAGAAACTCTAACTCGGTGAACTGAAGGGCGATGTCGGTTGGGAGCGTGCGCCTGCAGTAGGCCAATATCAGATTGTGCCTGCAATAATCTCAGCTCATGAAGTTGCTGACATATTACTGACAGCAATGATACACTGAACTGCCCCCTCTAATCCGTGCTTGTCGACAGGGACATCCAACTGTACATATTCAATGTCGAATTGAACTACTGGTCAAAGAAGAAAGGGAATACTCGCTTCTGGAGGTCCTGAACAAAGAACGAAAACATAAGCTGCACAGAGTACGCAAAGAACCTGGAGGCACCATTTCTCAGCATGTCTATGAATCTCTTCCAAAAACATCATTGAAGGTACCAGTCAGGAGATCCTTAACGTTGAGCGCTTCTGATAGAGCATACAGAAGGGATTGATTACCTCATCGCCACCCGGTTGTCTGCCCCTATAGTGATTGGAGATGCTACGGCACTTTGAGCTGTCGAACCCCTTGACGCCGCCACCACAATGTCGACGGAGTGTCCATTAGAGGGCAGCAGCCCTTTCAGGTTGTCCCAAAACTCAAGATCGCTGGCATAGATGACGTGCGCTTCATCAAAAATTAGCATCTTTCTTCTGATCACGAGCGGATTTGCACTCTTTGTGGGGCTCGGCTCTGGGGACGTGAGCAGATCCTCCAGGGACATTCCCGTGACCCGGAACACAAAGTCCGCCAGAGATTCATTTCTTCTTTTCCTGGCGCAATTTATATACAAGACAAACGCGTTATCGTACTCTTGCCGCTTGCGTGCCCTGCCATAAATCAGCTGGCAGGTGGCCGTCTTGCCCATCCGAGGGACTGCAACTATCCACAAGAGCTTGACTCGCTGCACCTTAGCAATTAGGGCATCAATAGTTGCAGTTCTATACGTAAATAGCCCTTGTTGTATCCGCCCATATGCTCCATCAGCTTCGTTTCCTGCTAACTGAGTAACACCAAAATCAAAATCTGCATGCACATGAGCCGCCATTCCACACTCTGCTAAGCGCGCCCACAGTGAGCTAGAGTAATGGTGCACTTGAGCAGATCAAGTCAGCAAGCCGAATGAAGTTCCGGCCACTCAGAGGCCGCCATGTCATACCCCCCTCGGCAGACCGGCCATGCCCAGCACTTTTAAGGTTTTGGTACCGTCGTTCTTGCATCACCTGTTTGAACGGAAGCAAGTCGGCGATACATACCGATGAAATGACAAGCATGGACCAGTCGATTGTACTCATTCACCTCTGTAAACAAGTTGATACCGATTCTCCGTGCAGATGACTCAGGCCGCACGACTCGGCGCCGCGAAGCAGAAGCGGCGACTGTACCAACAGATACTGCCCAACCCCCTCACGGCCCCCAACAGCTAAAACCCTCCCACCGAGGCGCCTCCCGTTACGGGGCGCCAGTCCCCATTTGAATCACAGAACGGTTTAGGCGCACAGAACCAGACTGCAGTAGACGCGCGGTCCAACCGTCTCCGATCAGCGACTGCCCACATGACTGTTTCTAACCCCAACGGACATCGAACAGCAACGGCACCCCCTGACGGTCCACAAGCGGGCGACGGGCCCCTCGGAGAGAGCAGCCCCAACGTCGCCCACTGGGGCTTTGGTAGCCAAGCGCCAAGCGGCGCCGTTCCCGGCGACCGGAGGAAGCGTTCCGGGTCTTTTACTGGTCTGCAGCAGGTCGCCGACATTCTGGGCCCGCAGTCCGAGACGCCTTCCGGACGACGGATCTTGGGCAGTTTGATTCATACTGTGTCACCGGCGCCGCAAGTTCCGGACCAATCAGACGCAAGGGATCCCCCGAAGAAGTCAAAAGAACGTGTGAAGAGCCCGGCGAAAGGAGGCAAGGCGGGCCCGGAAGCACGGACGGGCTCCCAGCAGGGGAGATGGGGAGATGAGGGCGGGTGGACATTTAGACAAGGAGAATTATAGGTTATGAGGATCCAGAACGGCATACCGTTGACCAGGTGATGACGTGAAAGTTTCTTTAATCGGCAGGTTGTTTCTGAGGACATTTCGAGCTTTAGTAAAATTGGTTGAATCTTTTGAATCCTGGCCAGAGGACCTTACTGAAATCAGTTTCGATGGAACGACAGGCCAATGAAAGTTATAACGGCATGAGTCAGTGAACCTTATGAAAGTGGAAGTTAGGTTCTTCCATCTGTATCAGGTAGAAAGCTCTCTGTTTTTTGGATCAAGGAACACAGTCTTTGGACGAGAGGGTCAAAACTATGCAGATGTCACTCGACTCGTCAATTTTACCACTTCTTTCTCATGACGCTCGCGTTCAAGCCAGGTGTATTCCTACCAGCATGCATACCACTTGCAATCTCAGTGTGCTGCAGCTTATCACATTGAACGTGGAAATCCCAATGCACCAATGAAGGTGTCCTTGATTAAAATTATGCACTGTGATAGGTGCGATGTCCGCATGACGTCTGCGCCAGCATCATTATGACGGCAAGCCCCTGTATGTTGCATGTGACAAATAGAATATGCTCTAAACAAGCAATAATGCATATAGATATCAATCGCCCAATGAATGATTGTCTTCAATGCAAATTGTTGGACTACCGTCGTCTTTTGCAGCTTATTGAAGAAATATCGACTGTGAAAACGTGCTTGAGTGCCGATGCATGACGTATGCATCACGATGCGTTTCGTCCAGAGGTATGTAGCGGCCGCCCGCCTGAGTTAAGCGCAAATCCAACGGGAATTCGCCAATCCTGGTCATTTACAAAGCAGACAGGACGGCTGGAGGGAGGACATGGACTCCCGCGGGCAACCTTCGTGAGCCCCCTTGTCTATAATCTCAGGGAATCGCGGCGGCTGACCCTGACGGAGAGACCTTTTTCGGACTTTCGGACCTTCGACTCGTAGCTGGTCATAGCTGAATTTGAACTGACCAACCGGAAGCCCTCCTTCCATTTATTCAGACAGGGTCATGATGACGGTACACCATTTGCGTGCACACGGTGAAACTACAAACCGGCGTAACAGCATGTCAGTCGATCTTTCTTAATCATACACCCAAGGCTCTGATGATTGCCCAGATGGCGCCGTGGTCTGATCAGGTAGAATTGCATGCCATGCGGATTTGCCCTGTGCATCAATGATCATGGCATCATTGTCACTCAGTACAAGTCCCAGCACTTGGCCAGAGATTCAACAGATGTCTGTGTATAATGGAATCATCACATTGGTTGCTTCCTTGTGCAACCTGTACCCATCCTAAATGACATGAATCCGCTTTGGCAGATTATAAGACCAAAGGCCCATTTCAATGCGGATGCTTTTGCTACGCTACATGCGGAGCATAGTACCGCTCTACAGAACTCTATGTAAGTAGCTTTCTGTCAGATACTGCGGGCCGCATGTCAGCCTTTGAACAGTGTCCGAGTCAGCTGCATGGGCTTAGTGCTCGACCATCTTAAAGGACGCAGAACTTGAGTGCAAATTCGCATCAAGTATCCTGAGTACTACCTATATGGTCTTCAACGCAATGGCACTCAGTGGGCACTCATTCCCGGGCAGGCTGCCTTCACTCTCAGTTTGTTTCGGGGCGGACGCTCATGGGTGGGAAGGAGAGCTGAGAAGACCAGTTGCGCAGGACGGGCGCACTTGAGACCACTGCTCAATCCGGTAGCACTTGATGACTTGATAGGATCAAAGAGTAGGATTACACGATGCACGAGCCATGCAGAAGCTGAGTCCCTCCGCTCCATCTGATGTCAGGATCCATGACGGAGCTTGGAGTCATGAAAGAAAGGCGGCTTTTGAGCCGCGCTGTATAGAAGTTCGAGATTGAGCTGTGATGGACAGATACGAAGAATGTAGTGAACCAGGCTTGTCTTGGGCTTGGATTTCCGCGGTGGAAGCAGTTTCCGCATGTTTCCGCGGGGCTTCCGCGGGGCTTCCGCGCTGCTTCCGCAGCGGGTCCGCGTCTCTGCAGACTTTCCACTATGCTTCCGCTGTCATCATAGCCCTCATGTTTCTAGCGTATTATGTAACTTTTCGTATGCTTTGAACATCCTTCCGCGCACCAGATCCGCATGGAATTCCGCACGCTCTTGAACCTCGACAACCTCGAGTAAGCAGACAAGCCCGGCCCGGATCTGGCGTGCATTAGGCGTCGATGTGACCAGAACGGGATAGCTTTTCACTTTTTCATGTGTTGCTCGCCCGGCCCGTTAACGTTGCTCGTCACTAGGCTAGCGGCCGCCGCATTGAAGAACATGGCGGGCCTTTTCTAAAACATTGCACATATGTAAGTCGTTTGATACCTCGCTCAATTCATCCATCCATTCATTCATGTCTTGCGCATTGAATTGCCAGCCTCGAAGGTAATCCGCCAACTTGACCTCCCCTTGACCTCGCAGGCATCACTGCTTTTGCGACCTGAGTCCTGACTCGTTATGACCGCCAGGTCCCGTGACCGTTGGATCAACCTTTCAGGGAGATCTTGAATATGCTGTGCCGTCCGATGGGGTCCTACTTTACATGCTATCAAATCGTGCCAAGTGGCAGCTTCGGAGCTGACGGCGCTCCCCAGCTTTCAATGAAATGGTGCCACGTATCAGAGCTTTCACCGACATCAGGACTAATCAGGCTGGTAACAAATAATGGCGGCTTGGCTCAGGAGTCAGGGCTGGTATCAAAATTCAGAACCTACCTAGACATTCTCCCCTTATCTCCTGATCTACATGCTTCGCTCTCAACCTTCTTCTCGCGTTGTGTGGATCAGCTGCGCCAGAGAGCTGATCAATTGAGGTGTGCTTCGCTTGCAGCCCGCCGGCATGGCGGCCTCTGCTCTAGCTCGGGCCGCAGCTCCCTCTTTATTTTGTGTCAGTGGCAACAAGACCAGTGAGAGAAAGGGGGCGTTCCATTCTCAGTGTAGAGTTAAATCGCTTCAATCAGGTTGGGGAACCGATTGTGCAGCGCAAAGGTGAGTTGACAAGCCATTACGGCGAGCTGAATCTATGCATGCCCTTGGGCCCAGCTGTTTTTGAGTATCTTTGTGGAGTGTCTTTGTCTTAAAGGAAGGTCGGATTTACTATCACCTTAGAGACAACGTGAAGACAGATAGAAGGAAGAAAGGAAGGACATTGACTTTGTAAACATGGCCTACAGAGCATGTGTCAGACAGTGACAGTACTACTGTCAGGACTTCTCAGGAATGCGCCACAACTGATGCCGTTATGCAAGGCCAGGCTGACTTATCGAATTGATCTTTCCACTACTCACTCGTAAAACCACACAATCTGTGCCAGGTAGTGCGACATTGTTCATGTTGCAGATCAGTTCATGTTCAATGTGTTCCGCCTCTGCAAAGGTGGTGGTGTGGAAGCTAACCATCCCATTTTGGATTTGCAGTTTGACTGCGAGGGCTTCCACCTTTACCACCGGTGTGCAGCTAGGAGCCACTCCATGCAGCTCTCTACGGTCACATGGTAGGTTCCTGCAGTGCACAATTCTACAGTCCCACTTCAACAACCGATAGTTTCAAAAGAACTTTTGAGGGACTGTCCCTGATCTGGACTGCTGTTTTGCAAAATCTTTGTGCTACTACCTTTGTCTGGGTGCGTTTGGTTTTCAAAATTCTGATTTTCCGAGTACATTGTTCTCATTTTCAAGAGCATTAGGCTCGTTCAGCTTTGACGCAGATGGTGATGTACTTGGTGAGCCGGTAGCTTCGTATGCAATACCAAATCAGTTCAAGCAAATTCTATCATTTTCCAACTAAAAGTTCCTGGCAGCATATTCTTTCATCATTAAACACGAACTTGCGCCAGTCAGCCGTAGTCCAGAGTCAGGACGTTTGTGCACCAGGGCTCTCAGGGCTTTATGATTTGCCATCTCTCAAGCTATGCATATCTTTCCTGAGCGTCGTTAAAGGCAACACCTTCGTAGAAGGAATTGGATAAAGGCAAGACAAATACAGATAGAAAAGCCGCGTGATCAGTCCCGGCGTTTCAATTTGTTTGCAGCACGCAATCCCCGCAGCATAACCTGCAAGGGGAATGACGACAACGGGCTTGTGCCGACCAAGGTGAAGAAGAAGGATAAGAAGAAGAAGAAGTACTTCAAGCGGGAGGATGTGATTGAGGCCGAGGAGGAGGGGGACCCTATCGGCGACCTGTTCCCACGGCCCAGCTGGGAAGGCATCAAGCGAAGCGTGAGTCTTTGTCAACTGAACCCCATGGTCTGATCTTGTGCTCCAGGCTTGTCTAGGACTGTCGGTGAGAATACTGTGGTGACATTGCGAAGATTCGAGGCGATTCATGGTTGAGGGGTTATGTTCCACTTTCAATATTTGAGTGGTGCAAAGGGGTCTGAAGAAATAAGGACTGCAAAGCTTCGATTGTCTGGTTGCACATTCAATCTGGGGTCCAGGAAAGCTTCTGCAAGGTGTGAAGGGGTCTTTGTTGTCTGGGGACACCTTATCACTCCCTTCTGAAGATGCTGCTGAAATCATTTGTAGACGAATCGTTGCTCGGATGCGTCAGAATAGGTGCTCGAATCATTGAAGGGGTCGCCGATTAGACTCTGCAACAACAAAGAGTGGATGCACTCTGATTGAATTCTTGTAGCGGGCAGTGTCATAAACGTTAAGTGTTCACGTGAAGTCTAAATAGCCAATAACATAGAAGTTCGCCAATACGCAGGCGCACGTGTCGGACGACGCATTTGCAAAGCGGGAGAAGCCCCAGCCGGAGGACGGCAAGCGGCCGTACAAGTACAAGGAGGAGCTCGCGGAGCTGCAAGCGGAGCTAGTGAAGTTGCAGGAGTGGATCAAGCACAAGGGTGAGCGCGGGCTTTCCGAGAAAGAATTCCAAGGGCTTTGGGTTCACAGAGTGCCCTGTCACGAGGTTTGGTGTTGTGTAAGAGAATGGCGAGTTTCCCGGATGTAGAGCTTGGATAGAACAAGGATTTCTTTGCCTAGTTCCGGAACTTGAATTTGAGCAGCTGCAGGGGTGGGTTGATATCGAGGCTGAGCATTTACTCCATCTCTAAATTTCTTAAATGCAAGGGGACATTTCGCACACGCGTGAAGATTGTGATGCAAGAAGAGCTTTGCAGATTAACTCAACGTTTCGTTCAGCACGCATTACGGCTGGTGCGGAGTGATAAATGTCAAGGAGGCTCGATTTCAGGGACTCGGGCTCTAACTTCACAGATGGATAAGGAGGGCCCTGCTTGATCGACTCTTTAACTTGCGAGACTTTTCTTTCCGCTTACCTTAAACTTCTATCTTGGAGGATGAGAGAGTCAGCATTCTTGCCCGTCACTCCAGAAACAGACGTTGTGAGTCAGCAGAAAGCCCAGGTATCAATCCGGGTCAGCCCCGTTTGAGTGAGCTGGCAAGTTTTCTCTGTGCCAACGATTGTTTAGCCTCCTTTTCCCGCCTCCTTATGTCCTCCTTATACTTACTCTTTGTTTTTCCTCTGCAGGCTTGCGTGTTGTGACCATTTTCGAGGGGCGCGACGCGGCTGGCAAGGGCGGCATCATCAGGCGTATCACGGAGCGCACGAGCCCCCGGACGGTCTCCGTCGCGGCGCTCGGCACGCCGTCCGATCGGGAGAAGACGCAGTGGTACTTCCAGGTGGGCTGAAGAGACTGTTCGTTTCTGGTCACCTTCTCTGGTCGACTGATCAATCAGCTGTACCTTCTGCTGACGAGGAGATTCGATCTGTGCTTTTTCGACTGATCAATCAGCTGTACCTTCTGCTGACGAGGAGATTGGATCTGTTTGACATCCGTCCGACCGCAAAAAAGACGGAGTGGTGCTTTCAGGTGGGCGGAAGATAAGGCTAGCCTCCACGTCATTAGGCTGTGATGATTTGCCTGAAAATCCAGCCGTGATCTGTATTTGAGATCTGTATTTGGCGGTTGGACTTTTCTCCATGCTCGTACGGCACGGCTACCAGCCAGAAGACGACGCAGTGGCGCTTTCAAGTGTGGGAGCTGGATGGTCTCTTGTTGGGGGTGGTGCTTCTTTCGCGGTTCAAGAAGCTGGTTGTGTCGATATTCCCTGAACGGCGAAATTCCGATGTTTGTTTGGAACGACCACTGAGAAGAGGCATAAGCGATTTCGAGTGTGGTCGAGGGGGTTTTCAGGTCAGGTCCGACTCCGAAGTTGAAAGTATGTTGCATTCAGCGAGTGCTTCTTTCCGCACGCTTCGCTGCGCCGAAAAGGGTCTCTGTCTTTCCACCCTCCTCTTTCCCCTTTCAAAAGAAACGAGCCCGGTCATGCTTACCCAGCATGGGCCCCAAAACGAAAGGGTGCGAAGAAGTGTTCATGCTTGGCGTCGTTTATACAACGGCAGCCACACAAAGCTTGAACGGGGTGTCGGTGCGATTCAGGACCACAAAGCTCCGCAAGCGGCCGCCTAGGGCGGAGTTGTCGAACGCATAGTTGCATTAATCATCAACAACTCGCAACGTTTCGCCATCCAACTTCCTCTGTAGCTTTCGCAAAAGGTACTCAAATCGCAGATTCGAGATCATACGAAGAGCCTTCTGGTCAGACAAACCACGTTCGACACGATCGCAGGCTGGAATGAGTACGGCAGGTGCCTCGATTGCGAACCGTCTCAGCAGACCCGCGGTTTCTAGCCGACCTTCGATTCGAAACGTCGCATACGTGAGCTGCGTTTCCTCAACTCTCTCTGGATTTTCTGCGCAGCGGTACGTGCCACGTCTGCCGGCCGCTGGCGAGTGGATCATCTTCGATCGCAGCTGGTACAACAGGGCGGGAGTGGAGAAGGTGAGCTCGTTACGAATGAGTCGGCCTCCTTTTTGGAATGTTTTGGTAACCGAGAGCTACCAAAACGCACCGCTATGTCAGATTATACCTGCTTATGCTTTCCAACGTGTGCGTGACGTGCCTAGCCATGGATCCTGGTGCCTCGATGATCATCGTGCAGCAATCAATAGATGCACCCGGATCAGGTTGCTGGCATTCTTGGAACTTGCATCACGGAAGTGAAGTCCCTAAGTTGGAGTCTTCCATGTTGCAAGCAAGTGGAGATTTCGACGGCCAGGAAGAGTGCGGTTGATGATTCACTTGATCATTAGTGATTCCAGAGCTGAAGCAGTTACGTATTGTTAATTTTGTCCTCCATATACTTTCGTTTTAGGCCAAGCATCTCCTCGCAGGAGTTAGTGACGCAGTGCTGACGTTTGCTTGTCCGCAGGTCATGGGCTTCTGCACTGATGCAGAGTACAAGCAGTTCCTGAAAACGTGAGTCGCTTCCGCTCAGACGCTGTCCGCAGCACTGAGTTGCTTACCGATAGCAGCACCACGAAATTCCGTAGTTTGACCTCAACTAGACCGGGACGAGTTTCGGGCGGCACTCAAAAAGTGGTGCTTACCCAAGACGTTAGCGCCGATCACGTCGATTAACGCTGATTACGCCGATTGCGTTGATTACGTTGCGGCGACTTGGTTAGTCCGATAAGGGTTTAGAACAGGAAGCCCGCCTACTTGTAGCGGGAGACTGTATTGAGCATTAAACTCATCGCAAGCTGTATGCAGGGAGTATCTTCAAACTGAAACCTTCGTTCTGGTAGACAACGAAGTAATTGCCGCAGTTTCATCGATCGCAGACTAGGGCGTCTGTCATGCTAAGCGGTCGCCCTGAACGCCAGCGCAGCTCCAGGCGAAGCGGGCGACCAGTCTTGACACTCTTTGTGCGCGCGCGAGAGCAGCGACCTGATCCGCACATTGCGTGTGCAGTTGCCCGCTGTTTGAGAACCTGCTGATCGACTCGGGGATCATCCTGATCAAATACTGGGTGTCCGTCAGCTCCAAGGAGCAGGAAAAGCGGTTCAAGGTAGGTTGTGCAATCCAGTGACAAACCCAGGGCGCAAAGCAGCTTTTCTTATTCGTCGCCGTATGTTTAGTTGGGTCAGTCAGGGTCCGCAAACCGTCAAAATTATATGCCCCGGAAAAGCCGCTTGAGGTGGTTGCGATTTTGACACTCGCCTCGTCAAAGGAAAAGATGGAAGGCAGACAAGCCGGAATCATCTCTCATCGCGTTATTCCTAGTCTCGCCTGTGTACGAGGAGCGTCCGCAAGCCTGTGTTCGGTGCTCGGACGGTTTGCCGAAGCGTGAAGCGTCCGGAGATGTGCTGTTGACCGAAGCGAACGGTGGACTGTCTTTCTGTCTTGCATATGGAAGTGAATCTCTGATTGTGAATGACTGGTCGACTTTACACATAAATCTGCTAGCGGACAAAACGGTGTTCGTTACCCTGTGTTCGGACGGTTCGCAGGAGCGCTTGACGCGCTCGAAGCAGCGCTTTTGTCCACTGTGAAGGCAAGTACTTGTCTCCACCAAATGATAACTTCCTTTTCCGTCTTGCTCTGTTAACCGCTTTCCTTCTTAGTAGATTCCAGCCAGCGGACGAACAGCGTTCTCGATTATGTTTGTACGGTTCGCAGGCGCTTGAGGCGTCCGGAGAAGCGTGCCTATCCGCTTCAAACGACACCTTTTCTTTTTGCCCCGCTCTAACGCTCCTGCTCTTTCTTACTTGAGCGAACTCCAGGTAGCGGACGAGGAGCATTCTTAACCCTGTGTTCGGACGGTCCGCAGGAGCGCACTTTTCCGCTTCAAATGACACACTTGTTTTCTGCCTTGCCTGCTCTTCCTTATAGTAGTGAACTCCAGCTAAAAGATGAGGAGTGGGCTGAATTTGTGTTTGGACGGTCCGCAGGAGCGCTTGAAGCGTCCGGAGAAGCGGTGGAAGCTGAGCCCGATGGACCTGTACGCGCGCAGCCGCTGGTCCGATTATTCGTACGCCAAGGACGTCATGTTCTCCCACACGGACACCAAGACGGTGAGCGGCACAAACTCTGCTTTCAGAAACTCTCAAGAGCTTGCTGAATTCGATGAACGGATCTCGCGTTTTGCCATCTTGGAAGGTTGTATAACAAACCCCGAAGTGGTTTGCGGTCGACTTTGTTTGCGACCCGTTTTTGGAGAAGTGCGGATCTATGAAGCGGGGCTTCCACGGGCTTGTGAGAGACGCACGAGTTTACCCGGTGGTTCTCAAGCAAAGTTGGAGTCACTTAAGGAAAGCCAACGTGAGGTTAACTGTTCAACCTTTCTGGTCCGATACTTTTATTTTGGTATGGATTCCGACCTGATATTTGAAGCTTCGCCGCTACTCTTTCAATGTACTCGAAAGCGTTTTATATTGGCACACCGTTGTTTCTCTCGAGGAGCTTGTTTCAGATATGTATACGCAAATCTACTCGTCGAGTGTTCATGCTCATTTTAAAGCAAAGCCCGTGCTTGTACCTTAATCTGCATGCTTTTCTCACTCTTTTCTTCTTTTCGTGCTGCGCAGTCCCCGTGGTTCGTGATCGACGGGAACGACAAGAAGGCTGCGCGCCTCAACACGATCCGGCACATCCTCTCCCTGATTCCGTACGAGGACGTCATCAAGACGCAAGACATCAAGATCCCGCCCAAGCAGGAGGACAACTACGAGCGGCCGCCGTTGCGCGAGCAGACGTTCGTCCCGCAGGAGTTTTAGGTTTCGCTCGCCAGGCTAGTTGCGGAAGAGAGACCTTCGTCGGGGTAGTTTTGAAAGTTGTGTGAATAACGCAAAGCCTAGTCGCAGAAGTCTAGGAATCGATAGGGGCAGGGATGTAGAAGTGTTTGCTATGGCAGGGCTGTGCGGAATGTCGCAATCGTTGCATTAACAGGGTCGCGACTTTCCTCTTGCCAGTTGTAAGCTGGTGCACGCGTGAAGTTGTTAGTGAACCGGTTGCATCAGATTCTTAATCAAATAAAGAGTCGAGGTACATGCATTTAAAACATCAAGTTGCCAATAGCGCAGGAGAAGCAGTGCTTGTATAGGCTAGATTGAGAAACTTTTGTTAGAACGCCCACATGAGCAGGTTAGAATTACTAGATGATGTAGGATGCACGAGTGCACTGTAAAATCCAGACAGGCATGCAGGTTTTAGCCCTTTTCGAAACGCAAGGTTTGACTCCCTAATTGTGCTGACGTAGATTTATTTACATCAAAAGCAAAGTGTCGGAACGTGTCGCATCCTAGGCGGTGTAGTCAAGCTAGGTGAGAGACACCCAAACCTTCAGTTTCATGTGTATTGACCACCTCAAAAATGGCTTCTGACTTGGCAGACTCCTCTTAAAGATGGTTCATCCAGGAACTTACTATTTAAAAAACAATCCTGTTGTGCACCATGCATGCGAGACGTTTCTTTTCAGAAGTTGAGCTTTAGCAATACGTTGCATGCCGATCCAAACACGCCGGTGTGCCCAGTGTGAGGATCGATCAGCCGAAGACTTTTGGAGAGGTGAAAATTGTGTACTGCATGACTCGGGCCGCCCGTTTTCATGCGGCACGGGATAGCTACGGTGCGGAATTTGAGACCGGGAACTTCGTCGGTCGGCTCGGCGGGATACCGGGTCCGTACCCGGGTTCCGACATTTTACCGTCGGTCGGACCGGGACAATTTCCCCGGATCGGACCTGCAAAAAACGCGCAATCTACCTGCAAATATCGCCGGTGGG